CAATGCTGAGCTGGTTGCTCGAGAACGAGGGATAGTAGTCAATGAGCAGCGTTCAAGGGATAGCCCATCTCACTCTTACTCCTCCCTCATAACTTTGGTTGCACGGGCGGCAAAGGTGAATGGGGATAGTCTAGGATCCAGCCATCTACATGACTATATCATATCTGGGACTTGCTCTGAATCTCAACCCTTGATATCACGCATTGACCGGTTTGCCACATCCTTTGTCCCTGAAGGAACGCTTTTGATATGCCACAACTTTGATTCTCCTGGCAAAATCGGAGTTGTTGGCAGTATATTAGGGAAAAGGGGGGTTAATATTAACTTCATGAGCGTTGCTCCGATCTCCAAGGGGAAAAAACAGCAGAAGGAAATCGATTCCTCAGACGAGGCACTGATGATCCTGGGCGTTGATAGAGCTGTGGATGAATGCGTGGTAAAGGCTCTTGTGAACGAGGGCGGAGTGTTGAGCGCCAGCGTAGTTTCTCTTTGATATTTACTCGCTAAAACAGTAGTTAGAACAAATGGTCACTTACAAAGACAGATAGCCCATATTCATTTGTGTTTATTTAGAGATTTTGGCTATAACTAATCCACGAGTTCGTATAAACCTTGATGCGTTATCCTCATCTAGTACAGTCATCCCAGAAGAATCGTTCCCCCACATCCAAGCTTGAGAGACCAGCTTAGACATTCCTCCTGCTGCGTCCTGGCTGTAGGACTGGTTAATGTCCCGGGCCCTGGTCCAGTCTCTGTTTCATAGTTTCCCTCGATTTGGTCTCTTCCCGGTGCTTCCAGGGGCCCCCGGGAATAGGGCTAACATGATCAACAGCCATCTGGATCGGGGGCGGCGTTGACGGCCTAGGCGTTGATTTATCGTCACGCTTTCCACGCGGCTTTCCGACTTTCACTGCAGTTGGGTTTCCTTGTTCCCGGACAGGTTTGGCCTCGATATAGTCCCTGGTCCTGTTGACTGTCTGTTCAGATCTCGGCCCATTGGGATTCGGTATTTCTGTGCGCCGCCCCTTGGGAGGATGGCTTTTCGACGGCACTCTGTTCACCGTCTTGAGGTAGCCCACTCTCACGTTCGCTTTGGTGTCAGTAAGCTCGGGCGGTAGTGAATCGGCGTTTGATCTGCTAGTGAGAGTGTGTCCGACATTGGGGACGGAAATAATGACGTCTCCTCTGATGTCGTAGGGGATAGGGCTCGCCTGGACGGCACTCTCAAAGGCGAGGAGAGCAAGCAAGGCAACCCTGCCAATAGAGGTGATAACTGTCATATTGGAAGTAAGAAGATATTTGTTGCACAAGTGACTCGAGCGATTGAATAGTGGAAGTCTTTGAACAGAAGCTGGCTTTCACTCTCCTCAGGAGCAATATATATAGACTTCTTTCGAAATGCACGCCCAATGCAGGGTCCCTTATCGAGCCTATATGCTCAATGTATAGGTCGTATAATAAAGAAGAGGCATCAATATGCGTGAATATCTCTAGATTATTGTACCGTGTTACATATGAATGAACATATGATTAAGTCTTTGTTTTCAACCATTGCACGGCAGCAATCAAAGAAGCCAATCCTATTCAGGGTTGGAGATGCTCAGCGACAAATAATGGAACCACATCTCCAAGATAGCTATGCAGTTTCATGTATCTGCAGGCCGGTTCCAGGGGTTTCTCAAAGCTGCTCGGGTATACAGCGATCGAATAACTGTTTGGCAAGGAATTTGGTGCACGTCAACGCCACCAGGCTCCATGAGGGTTATCTTCACTCACATAGTGCGCAGCTATCCTTTTACGGCTATAATTTATTATTGTTGGCTGTGCCGTTTGTGAAGGATTTCGAATTTGAGATGTTTTATTCCATTTTATGGCGCATCTCCACTTAACAGAAGGGTTGCATATAAGTGAGGAAAATAAACGAAATAGAATTTATCCCGTGGGTTCATCTGGGCCGGTATTTTCGTATATACATGTTGTAACTGGTGAGGGGCTGTTTCACCATGTCGACCCAGCCTGATGGAAGAAATGATCACATTGTTAAGTAGAGACAGATAAGAAAAAGAAGGGGGTAAAAAAGAGAGAGAACATATCAGAGCATAGACGTCATTGGAAGGGGAATAATCAAGGGTTCTTTAGACGGATCCTTCGCGACCGAAGACACAATTGAATTCTTCGCCTGGGGAGAGAGTCACGTCGGTTCTGAGGACAGGATCGGTTCCTGGTGGAGGGCATCCGATGCCGGTCACCTCAGAAAAGTGCTGCAAAATACGGGTTATAGTGTATCCCATTTCAATGGTCGCAAATTGCTGGCCCAAGCATATCCTTGGCCCTCCGTTGAAGGGGATAAAATGCCATGGCTTGGGTTGCCAGCCAGAAGTCCATCGTTCTGCGTGGAACTCAAGGGGATCATACCAAGGCTTAGCCTTTTCATCTTGTGGTGATAAGGACGACGGTGGTGGGTCATAGAGGTCACGACGTCGTTGCATGGCCATGGTTGAGTACAGAATTCGGGTATCAGCAGGGACACCAACAGGGGATTTGCCATCAGGACCGCCGCCACGGGGGAGAGTGGTATCGACAACAGCATGGCGGACATTAAACGGTACGACAGGGTATAAACGCATAGTCTCGTTGATAATAGCATTGACATACTTCATGGCTTTTAGATCGGTATAGGTTGGCTTGTTGGTACCACATGTTGCGAAAATCTCTGCTCGCGCTTTCTTAACAGTTTCAGGATGACGAGAGAGCTCAAACATAGCAAAGGCGAGCGTGGCTGCAGTAGTATCACGACCAGCAAGAAGAATAGCAACAAGCTGGTCACGGAGCACAATTGGGTCGCGAGTAAACCTTGCAAGTGCGTGGAGGAAGGTATCTTGCTTTGACAGCTTGCTGTCTAGTTCTTCGGGAGTCAGGGCTAGCACCTGATCAATGAACTGTTGAATGAAATCGTTCATCTTTCGGATGTTAGCTTTGAATTCCTGTTCTGAAAGGAATTTCCGAAGGGGCCTATGATGATATTAATATCCATCCATGATTCCATCCGGAAGTACTAGTAGCGGATTATGCATACCCAGCTCTAAAGAGGATTGACTGCCTATGTAGAACGAATTGGAAAGATTCCGCAAATTCGGTCTTAGGATCATCAAGGCTGTCGACACTCTTTCCAAGAAGGTAATCGGTTGCAGCATCCAAAGTAAATCTAAAAAACAATGGTCCAATATCGACAACCCTTCCACCATTATCGTTCTTAGCAAGTCGAGGAATCAGCTTTTCAATGTGCTTTTCGAAGATCTCAGTATCGACAAATCTCTCCTTTGCAAACATTGGCCGAATCAGGTGCCTGGATCGTGACCAGAGCTCTCCATCAGTCGCAAAAATGCTGTCTCCCAGGAAATCTCTCCATTCTCTGTGGAAGCGCCATCCCTTTCCATAATCACTGAACTGACTGGTCAGAACAGCCTTGATGTTCTCTGGATCAGCAGTGAAGATATTGCGCGCATAAGGACGAACTTTGAGCTCAGCTGTCGAAATATTACCGCCGCATTGTGAAGGCGTGGTTTCAAAAATGGACGTGAAAAATTCGAGATCCTTGTGGTTTTTCGCAGCCTTGAATCCCCTGAAAATAAAGTCGGCGCCTAATTCGGGATTAGCAGATTAGAATATGGCATTTGCCGTAAGACAAAGACGTACTCAGTGGCATGTAAGTTTTAATCCGGGGAGCAAATGCTCCCAGCCTGGAGACTTTGTAATCCGTATACAAGTCATATCCAACATAGAAAACGATCAGAGCAGCAAACAACCACACAATTCCACTGCCGATAGAAATATTTTGCAGGATTCCTTCAATCATGTTGAATATGTTCTTCAGAGTCGGTCCTCTTAGTCCATCATCCAAGCAGGGTTGGCAAATTAATCAGCTGAGGCTGATGGATGAAATGACACTGGAATGAGAGAACAATATCCGGTAACTACTACAATCCAACGTCAAGGAGTAGTTAGTTATTGTCAAAATGACGTCTTCTTCATTAAAGGAGAATATATAAGAGCGGGGGTGGACATCATTAAAGCCCCCCCAGCCCACAGGACGAGACGGCATCCTGCATTGCGCCTAGAACGGCCAAATAACCCTCCGGGGTGCCGCTGAACCGAGGGACAACCCATTTCCCATGGAGAGTGGAAACAGCCGACTCCGTACTCACAGGGGCAACACATCGGGTTCGGCTCTGCACGTTGATGTAAAGTACGAATACGACATAACCCAGTTACCGAGCCTCTCTCTTGAAATCGAAGTCAAAAGGTTTCCAAACATGGAAGCGTTAACTAGTTAGTTAACGAACCTGGGGAACTGATCAACCTATCAATGAACTGACTGACATAAATAGCTCCAGGTCCAGAGATATGCAATTTCGATGCTGCTCGATCGTGTTTCAGAATGCTGGCTTGGCCAGAATTTTCGACAAAGAAACTGAGAGAATAAAAACTGCAAGTGTAAAAGAGCCCAGCACGGAGCTGGGAGTAGTTTATTCGAGTTCTCCGTTCTTTGCAAGACTGGCCCTTATTCTGAGCTGACACTAAAGTGTACGGAGTAAGTACGCATATAAGAAGCCATTGCCTGTGCTGTTGTTGCTCTTGCATGTGAAATGCCGAGCGTTGCTTTAACTAGTTAGTTAGCTAATTATGGAGCGCCCGTACTCGTATTTTGTTTTGTGTGGAGGGCTATGCTTCATGTTTCTTCGTTGCTGTTCCCCTCGGAGACGGGGTAACGGTAAGTACGAATAGTGCGGCAAAAAGATAGGCAGTCTGAGATTGTAGCAAAAAGAAGGAGATTCACTGGCATAAATGGATCCCGAAATTGCTACGGAGTTTTAAAATTCCGCTTAATACGTAGTTGGAAGTGATTTGGCCGTATCCTATGGTGCATTTCAATTTCCATCGCTCTTCTTGGTGTTAGGACGGACTGCCATTTTTTATTATTGTAGATTGATTTCAAGTATTTAGAGCTCGCATCCGCTTTCCCGCATGAGACAATACGTCATTTGGACCATAGCAGCACGGATTCCGGCATCATTCACTACGCGCTCTCTCCACTTTGCCAATCGATATGAGGCGTCCTGGATATTATCTGGCGATCTCGGCCCTGTCCAAAGAACTTCGGCGGCGGCGGCGGCCCGGGGCCAGATCATTTGGTCCATGTTGACTGGATCAACCAGCTCTGACCACATATGCGTTTCACCTCCAACCAGAAGGGACTGTAACTCGACAGGTATATCCTTTAGAGGGTTGTATACATACATGTGTTTCCAGTTTTTCGTCGGTGCACACCAGTCTAGATACGGATTCTGGACTGCCTTGGAACCTGGGCGAGGGTTTAGGAAAGTTCCTACCCCGCAGTCAAGATACCAAGCATCTCCAGTGCCAAATATCGTCTGATACCCTTTTTGGAGGACATGTTTCACTGCTGATGAGTTACGCCATGCCTGCACGATGACCCCTCCAGTTTCACCCGCTGTTTTGTGAGAAGGCAGGTTGAGATCCCAATCAAGGACCAACTCTTCCCATACAATCGGAGTAACTCCAGAACTTCGAAGTGAGCTGTGAACATGTGTGATCATTCTGTCGAGAAAGGGAGTGAGGACTCGTCGGTCATTTGAGCCTAGGTTAATTTCTAAAAGGTAGGTATTGAGGTTGAATTCATCTCCTCCAGTGTGAAAGTATTCTGTTAACGGGGAGACACGTGGGATTAAATCTGCCATCAGCAGATCAAGGAACTGGTATACGGCAGAAGAATTCAGTTTAATTTGACCACTTGGAGGTTCCGCGGCATATTTCTCCCACTGGTCCATATGGTAGGCTGCAACTAAATCGGGGAATGCATGGCCAACGGCAGCAGTATGGCCGGGCAAATCAATCTCAAGGAATACCGAGACCCCGCGTTCTAGTCCATATAGTTGCACCGCCTCCAATTCAGAAGACGACCATACCTGACTCGGATGGTACGAGGCTTTGGCTGCTAGTTCTGGGATTGAAGGAATGTCTAACGGCCAGGATTGTGAGTCGGCAGCGTGGGCATGCAGCCGGTTCAGTTTTACAGATGCCATTGCGTCAATAGTGCGCTTGACGTCTTCGGGTCGAATCACGTTTCTAGATATGTCAAGGTTCAGCCCACGATGTCGCCATTTGGGAGAATCCGATATGGAAATTGGAGCAAAGGGTGTGTATGACTTTGAATGGGAGTGGGAGTAAAACAGCTGCTGGAATGTTTGAAGAGCACGAATAGTGCCAATCGGTGATCTCGAGGAGATCTGCACCTCACCATCTTCCGAGATCCTAATTTCGTACTTTTCATCCCCATTAACGTAGTTGCGAGGAGACCATTCTTGACTCGTTTTTGACGCCTCATTGATTATAACCTCTTCGATAGTCGGATGTTGGCCATCTACCAAGGGTTCAAACTTTTGATGACGCGGATGAAACTTCCAAGGGACAAATTTGCTATTAATAATAGCATGCTTGGTACGTTTTATAGCATCTTCAACAAATTGCTCAACATTGGGGAGCGGTTCTGCAACTGTTTGTTCTGCGCTACCCCAAGGGTTCTGCAGCAGGTTTAGCCAGCCTCCGGGTATCCAGTTAATGCCTGCATAACTAGGCCGCGTATATATAAAAGACCGCTGATTGTTAGTGTAGGTAAACCGGACGGATGGAGACAGCCACAGGGTTTTATTCCCGTGTGAGTATTCACTGGGTTGTGGCCATAGCGCTTCTACACGGCCAAACAGGCCTAGGATTCCAGGAACCCAGATCCACAACATAGTTTAGGAGGAAGAATTAACTGTGGGTTTGAAGATCCAGGAGTGTCTGAACGGGTATGTATATCAGCGCTTCGCGGAGTAATGGAAGGGCGAAATGAATATAAGTGTCACCAACCCTTTAACAATGGTAGACCTTCACTAGTTAGAGCGGCTCAATAGCAGTGCCCATCCAGTACGGAGTATTGTCTCACTGAGCAGATCTCCGCCGGCATCTATAGCAACCAGCTGCCCAAGGAGGGGACCTCGTTGTCCGGTTCGCCTGTTCGTCCGGTTCGTCCGTTCTTCTGTCATTTATTAGTATTGCTTGAACGTTGAAGCGAAGAAAGAAAGTCGAGAAGTCACAAACTGCCTATTTGGGTTCTGTTCCACGTGACTCTCATTACTAATCATTTTTTTGGCATGACTAAGGAAAGTCTTGGCATCAAGTTCTTTTGATTCGAGCAGGAGAAAAACGGCCGTACAAAGCCAGAGAGTGACGTTGAAGAGCAACGGAAGTCTTGTCGGGGTGAAAGAAAAGAGCACTTGGACCGTGACATTCGAGGAAGACGGCTATCTCGGACTGCGGAATACGACTCCTTTTTCAACTTGCGTTGACGGCTTCTCGACACTGCGCGAGATATACGATTGCCACCTGAAAACGCCCTCCATCAAAAAAGCTTTGAAAACAGCTCCGTCGCCATGAGTGTCTCTGTTACGCTGAATACGCCGCTGGCCGATGCTTTGAACGAAGTGGTGCAGCCGAAGCTGGTCGAGCTTGGTTGGAGCACTGGCGGCGGAGACGACTCGGCGCTCGCGGAGTATGTGATACTGATGCTTGTCAACGGGAAGACACAAGACCAGATTTCTGCGGAGCTAGCAAACGACCTGCTCAGCCTGGGACCAGAGGATACGGAGGCCGCGGAGTTTTCAAAATGGTTGTTCGATCAAGTCGAGACGCTGGACAGGCGGCTAAATGGCGGCTCGAAGGAGAGGGCACATCAGGAGCAACTCCCACAAGCGATACCCTCTTTCTCAGAAGAAACGAACGGAAGTAATGGGAATGCGACGCCCACAGATGTGCCCGTACCGCAGCAAGATATGGTTATGGATGATGGAGTCGGCCCTGGAATTGATGCATCTGTGTAAGCCCCAACTAGTACTCGTTGCTGTCTTGAATATGGCTACTAACAAGGAATATCATATAGTCCAACCGGCCCTCGGAATGCGCGGAATCAAAAGCAAAATGGTCGAGGCAGAGGAATACTTGGTCAGCTTAGTCGTGCGATGGACCGGTCCAACGAATCCGTCCTTCACCGAGTTCGAAACCAGCAAGGAACCGAGAGGATAAATTCACATCGAGATAACTCCAGGGGTGGCAGAGGCAGTCGAGGCGGCCACAGGGCCTCAATGGGGAGGCAGATGGGTAGCAATGTGCCGATGGGGATGGGAATGGGAATGAACATGGGGATGGGAATGAATCATAACCAGATGCAGAACATGGGTCAACAAAACATGATGAACATAACCCCACAACAGCAGATGCAGATGATGTCAATGTTTGAAGAGCAGGCACGGATGATGTCTCAGCTCATACCCGGGTTCGTCGCTCCTGCGATCAACCCAGCCTTCCAGAATAGCCCTCCGCAACAGGCACAGGGCCGATCACTATTCGAACGCGCAGAGTTTCAACCCGGCCGACGGAACCAGCAGACTCCTCAGACTACAGCTGCCGATGTCGAGATGGACGGTTCTGAAAGTAAGCCGGCCGAAGAACAGCCAGCACGGGAAGTCCCTGGTCCAGACACAGTCTGCCGATTCAATCTTAGGTGCACGAACAAGGACTGTCCGTACGCTCATCAATCCCCGGCGGCGCCTGAAGGAGCCAGCGTGGATGTGAGCGACAATTGCCCATACGGAGCCGCGTGTAAGAACCGGAAATGCGTTGCCCGTCACCCGTCACCTGCCCAAAAGGCCGTCCACCAGGCAGAGGAGATTTGTCGATACTTTCCTCACTGCACAAACCCTAAATGCACCTTTAAACACCCGAATATGCCACTTTGCAGGAACGGGGCGGACTGCTCGACCGAGGACTGCAAGTTCACGCATCTCCAAACACCTTGCAGATTCAACCCTTGCCTGAACCGAACCTGCCCGTACAAGCATGTTGAAGGCCAGCGCGGAGCTTTCACCGACAAGGTCTGGCGTGCTGACGGTGCAAAGCCAGAGACGCCCCATGTTAGCGAGAGAAAATTCATCAGTGACGAAGCTGGCGAAGAGGAGCTGATCAAGCCCGGCTCAACTCCCTCGAATGATGCCGGAATCATCACCTAATCGGTCGCTGCAACCGCCTTCCCCTCTCCCTTTATGACTTGATCTTTCTCAGTTTCCTCCGAATGTCTACCAATTTGAATCGCTAAACGTTGTTTTCTCAAATACATCCCCGGAAGCCTTAGTGCCAGGCGCGGCCCCTATATCTTTCAGCTTCCTTTCCTCTGCCAAAAAGAATTCCTTTACTTTCTCTTTCTTACGATCTTCCGAGCATGAGCGGCGTTGGATCAGGGTGACTTTTTTACTATATCTGCCTCGACTTCCTTTCGGCTGGCGCACCACCCACTGTTGAACATCTAGATTATGTATATGGCGTTGTATCCGGGTCTTCCACCTCTTTCTTGCTGTACTCTTGGTAGTAGCATGTAATATAACCACCGTCTTTCCTGGGCTCAAATACTTTTCCCGCTTGCCCTTTCTCTGCTTTCTAATAACCAAATGCTTGTTGGCTCTGCAGATTTAGCCCGCCAGCTCACAGAGTAGACAGTTCAAATTAGTTGAATTAACAAAATTAAATAGCTGGTTAGTTAACCAATTAACCAATCAACCAATTATATATTATTAGCTAACTAGCTAGCTAACGGCCACCCGCTCTTTGTCACGCACGCATAACTAAAATCGAGAGCTTCACCTCGACCACCCTCACGCGAGGAACGAAGGACAGCCTCAACGACGGTGACGGCGACCGGACAAGCAGCAGCATGGGATTGGACTTACAATTGGACCTAGGAAATCGACGAAATAACGAAACTGACGGACGATGGCCTTGCGGCGCGGGCCTGGCCCGGTCAGTGCGAGCTGCCTGCGTCTGCCACTAACGAACGTCCCATGCTGGCAATGCGCAAGAAAAGGAGCCTTGCTTCTGCCACAATGGCAGAGGCAGCTACGGCTTCAGTCAACCAGCACGTCCAGGCGACCAGATAAACGGGTTGCGGTGATCGGTGGTGGGATCACAGGGCTGACGACGGCCTTCCACCTGGCCAGCCAGCGTTCGACGAAGGTCGTTCTGTACGAGAAGTCCAATACATTGGGGGGATGGATGCAGTCGGACACGGTGGACATAGATTCCGGCAAGGTCGTCTTGGACTATGGCCCGCGGACACTGATGGGTGGGCTTCCTGATGCGATGGCTACAGTTGAATTGGTGTGTGTTGCTTTCTTTGTACGCCCATGTGAGAAGTGATCACTGATACAATCTGCGTAGTTAATCAAACTGAATATGCTCGACTCGACGATGAGGATAGGGACCAAAAGCGCTGCTTTAAGTAACCGATATATCTACTACCCAGATCACCTCGTTCGGCTCCCCGGGCCCGGCGGCGGCGTATCCTTCTTTGATACCCTACGGGACATGCTGCAGGAGCCAGCATACGAGGGCTTGCTAAGAAGCTTGTTAGGCGAGCCATTTAAGGATTGTCGGGACCCAAAGGTCCGCGATGAATCAGTAGCAAGCTTTCTTCTCAGGAGATTTGGCCCAGCCCTTGTTGACAATCTTACTTCCGCGTTTCTCCATGGAGTCTATGCCGGTGATATCGACAAACTCAGCATGAAAGCTACTATGCGCCAGTTATGGGATGATGAGTTTGGACCTGGCATTATTATAAACTTAATGAACAAGAGCCTATCTCGAAAGCCTGTTTACTATAAACACAACAGGATACAGGTACTGAGAGCCATAAGACGTGAATACTCTTCAGAATTCAACATCCGAGTGGGTCTAATGTTCGCTCCAGGCTATATCTTGTACCTGGAGGGTGGAATGCGTTCCCTTGTATCAGCTCTGTCCCGGGAGCTGACAAGGCTTCCTAACGTTGAGATTGTGCGAAATGCCGCCGTAACTCATATTCAGTATGACAAAGCCAAAGCGTCTATGATAGTAAGTTCGTTGCCTTATATATATATATATATACACTTTTATATGTGTCTAGGGCTGTATAACTGATTCAGATTAAGCTCTCTTCGGCTATAAACAAGCCACCAGCGAGATATGACTATGTTATTTCGACAACTCCATCCACGGTACTGGCAGACCAGCTACGTGGGCCGGGGGGGCGAACTCCGCCCACTGCTACTTCGAGGATGTTAGCAGCAAATGACTATGCCGTGAGCGTCATGGTGGTTAATCTCTTCTACAAGAACCCTGATCTCATTCCGACACAAGCGTTTGGGTACTTGATACCTCGCTCTGTGCCTTTTGAACAGAATCCAGAACGAGCATTGGGGGTGATGTTCGCCAGCCATGCAGTTCGTGGCCAGGACAGCGCGGTTGGAACAAAGTTGGCGGTGATGATAGGTGGCCACTGGTGGGATGGATGGAACAAGTCTGATCTGCCAGACGAGCAGGCAGGCATCGCCATGGCAAAATCAGTACTCGCTCGCCATTTGGGGATTGTTGATGAGCCGGTCGTCGCAAAAGCTCGACTGCAGTACAAGGCAATACCGCAATACACTGTTGGACATTGCGATCGGATGGAAGATTTACATGAGGATTTATGCCGGGATTATGACTCTCGTCTCAAGGTTGCTGGCGCTTGGTACACGGGTGTGGGAGTGAATGACGGGATCACTGCTGGTCGAGCAATAGCCACCGCTCTCCATGCTGGAAATACTAAGGAGACCGGGCTGGAGGACTACGTGAATCCCACACAGCCAGTGCTTGCTGCCGTCCTATAGGCAATTAGCCTCTCCTCTCCTGGGTTCTAGGCATTTTTGATTTTTTATTTGTACTATAATCTATACCAAGGGATAGATATACAGAATATTAGAAAGGAACTAGAATACAGCCAATGTGAATTGGTTTGCCTGTAATACATCTTTTCCTTGACATGTGTCTCATATGTTCTCCTTTGCCTCCTTTGAAAAGCTGCAAAGCGTATTTACCACTGACTTGTCCTGAACAGAGCGACTTCGTTCGCCCCAGTCTATCTCTCTGACCCACATCGTCCTCCTAACATCTCTCCATCCGGAACAGACTTCGGGAGAACTCCTGCCTCTCAAGCCTGGTAGAGGCTCGGGTTTATGCATCCATTGAGTTCCTTGATGGAAAGTAATCAAATGTTGACTGGTAGTAGGCGAGATAGTAATAATGTAAGAGTGAAAATATATTCATCCCATCATAAAAAAGTCATGCCATATTCGAGTAGAGCTGATCCAAGCTGCGGCAGCAACTTTTGTCCCTCAGTCATTCATTTCGATTCTGTTGAGTCGGCCTTCTTCTCGCCATCAGTTTCAAACCCAAGGGACTCCAGCTGTCGAACTAGCTCGTTGATTCTGATAATCTTCTCTAGCTGCTCGGGCAGAAGACTCTCGCCTTTGTCTTTCTTGTCTCGCAGTTCACGAGCTTGCTTGAGCTTCTTCTTCAAGTTTCTGGCCTTCTTTTCTCGTTCAATCGCAGGGTCAGCTGCAGGCTCTTCCTTTTGCCTCACCTCGCCAGCAGCGTCTTTACCGGCCGTAGACCTCCAGCTATCCTTGTCAAGGGCCGTCGTCTCTTTTCCTGTTTTCGGGGATATACCCTCGCTGCTCGCTTTAGTCTTTGGTTTGGTGTCTTTTTTCTTTGTATTCTTCGCCGATGAAGCAGTGTTCTCGCTAACTGCTAGTTCTGCTCCGGGTATGCCTGCCTTGCCACGGTTCTTCCACGAAGCAGCAGCACGGTTCCGATACAGTTCCACATCCTCCGGCGGGCTGTAACCCGGCCTAATTCGTATTTCACGCCGCTGGGAGCCATCGGCACGAACTGAGGCTGGTATATGACGCTCTCCAGTGAGGGCGTTGGTGGTTATGCCTGATATCTTTGTCTCGTTGGCTGCCATATCGCTTCGTAGCTTTCTCGTTCACTTTCTTTGCGTAGCACCTCCAGTCGTCTAGTAGGCTGTCGAGCGTCTCTCGGGGTTTCTTTGCAAGGCTCTTCTCTTCCTTTTCTTCGAGCTTTCTGTTTTCTCTTTGCCTTGTGTTTTCTGCTTTTTTTTTTTTTTTTTTTTTTTGAAGTGAAGTTGAAGATCGATAAAAAGTTGCCGCTGACCAATCAGCGTTCGTCATTTACCAAGTCCAAAACTTCAACTTCGACTTCACGAACGAAACGAAACGAACAACTTCAGCTTTCTCTTCATCTTCGGACAAACATCTTGCTAGATACATTGAGCAGTCACCTGGAGGAACGCCGTGATCTCTTTTGTCTTCCGCGGGTTTAATATCGGCGTCATTTCACAATGGCTGGCGTAAGTGTTACCTCAAGGGATATGCCAAAATGACGACTTCATGCTGACACGACTGGTTAATTCGCTAGATCGCAACCTCTATTTACAAGTAAGGGCTTACTATCAGCCTGGGAAACCTGGTCAACCTGAATTGGGGCTATTCAGCTAACAGTTTTGCGCTTGCAGCACCTTCATCAGGCGAAATGGCATGATGTTGAGCACTATCTTCGTCGGCGCATTCGGCTTCGAAATGTACGTTCTTCTGTTGCTGAGTAGGATGCAGATATGCCCTGATATTTGATCTTTTCTGTTTCCCGCCTAATCTGACTCTCTTCATAGGGCCTTCGACACCGTCTCCACCAAGGTCTGGGATTGCATAAACAGCGGCGTACGACTCCCCTCCTGTCTCTGAATATACCAATCTTCATTCCATGGCAATCAGCTAATTTTCCTCTTCAGCGACAATGGAAGGACATCAAGCACCGATATATTAACAATGAAGAAGAGTGAACGCAGTCGACGCGTGGTGACCGCTATAGACGAAACTACCGGTCGATGCAATTGTACAGATAATTGTTTAAGGAATAGGAATAGAGAACAAAGATGTTTCAATACCATTTATCATAAAGTGGTTCAAGCTTACAGAATCAGTCGGGATATTCAGCATTCAAGACATGCAAGCTTTCATTGCCGCCTATCCCATGGACGGTAATCATATCTCACTTCCGCCTAAGGCTCAGACGAACTGAACTCATATACAACGTGATTCTACACACTGTCTGGTCGGGCATCCTAGCCAGCCGTAAATTCAGCTGTTGAGGTTCCAATCACTGCTGTCTTCTGGCCGCTACCAGGAACCTCTGTGTACATGTGAAATTCCCGAGACGTAGGTGACCTTTCTATCTCGCTAAAAGGTAACCAGAGGGTATGTTGCAAGGAAATAGAGCCGTAAGAGGAATAATCGAATGCCCAAATGCTGCCTGTCACCGCCTCTGCCAGCATCGCCATCTTAGTCAGACAAGCTTCTGGCTAGCAACAAACACCAGAAACTCCGCCGATAAGACGCCTACTGTCTCTCCCCGCGCAGAGAAAGGAACAGAAGACAAGAGAAAGACATACAGGCCGGAGAAATAGTAACGTCAGATCGTTTACCGTCTGCTTTGTAACGGTAAGCCTTCCCCCCGCCGGCGGAATACTGATCTCACTCTTACTTGCCTTCCCCCTCAGATATACAAACAACTCGCCACCAACGAACTTATCAACCCCCAAAAACTGCGCCGGCGAGCTTCTTGTTACACTCTCATCGGCTCATATGCACATATGTGTAAGCTAGGCGCACGGCAGAGATAATGCCTCGATCCCTTGCGGATGTTGAAAAGTCGCTCGGCCAGGCGCTCGTGGGATTCCCTGCGCGGTACGGCAATAGATACGATGATAAGGCGAGAAGAGAGCTTATAGAGCTCCTCTTCCGCTGTCTTACCGGCTATAACGACGACTTTCTACGGTTATTGTTCCCGGAGGGACCTGGAAATGGTTGCTGGAACCTGTCAAAGGCCCAGGGCCTGGAGGCTGGAGCGGAATATTCTGAGGCAGCTCGCGGCAAACGCTGCGGGCATACGTTCAAGTCTGGCGACGCAGCATACCACTGCATTACATGCTCGGTAGACGAGACATGCTGTCTGTGCAACCGATGCTTCAATGCCTCTGACCACTCGGGACACAAATTTGCCTTCTTCGTTTCGAGCGGACACTCTGGATGCTGTGACTGTGGGGACGAAGAAGCCTTCCGTATACCGGTCAACTGTGCTATACATACTGCGTTTGAAACCGATGACAAGGATAAGTATAAAAAAAAGAAAAAGGATGAGAACCTCGTGCCTGAGATGCTGGTTGCCTACATTAGAATGACCATGGCACGAGTGCTTGACTACTTTTGTGATGTCATCTCTTGCTCCCCGGAACAGTTACGGCTACCGAAGTCTGAGGCAGGAATCAGGCAGGACGAGATTGTTTCTAGGCTATCTGGAGACTGGTATCATGCTAGTGACCCTGAGGAAAGTGAGCCGGAATTCGCTTTGGTGCTTTGGAATGACGAGAAACATACAATAAACGAGGTTACCAACCAAGTGGCCAGGGCCTGTCGAGAAAGAGAGAGATTCGGACTTCAGAAGGCGAATGAATCTGATGAGATTGGCCGGAGTGTAGTCAAATACTCGAAGGACCTCCCGCGACTACTTGATGTCTCTAGGATCATAGAGCAAATCCGGGTCACAGTTACAGTCCGTTCTGCCAGAGACACTTTCCGAGAGCAGATGTGTGCCACCATTATCGATTGGCTTTCTGATATCTCTGGTTGCCGCGTAGGCGAGGATGGCTCGTTACTACGGCTCATGATATGTGAGCAGCTGCTTCAGCCGTGGCATCCTGGAAGTGCTGCGTCAAATGCGGGAATTGGCAGCAAGGGAATTGACGATCAGAGTATAGACGACGGTCGTATCTACCGTGCTGTCCATATTGATCAGACTGAAATACTTGCAGCAGAAACAGTTGACTTGACTGACGCAGAAATGGAGGATACAGAAGATGGCGCCACACGGGCCGCCGACGACGACGACGACGAGGACATGGATGACGCAGAGGTGGATCAAGTTCAGCTAGATGTGCACGTCCAGCATGTCCTTGATGATGATCCAGAAAACCCTGATGAAGATGATCTCGACATGGAGACACAGGTAGACAATGAAGCTGCGGAATTTGGACTACCGCCGCAACCGCCTCCCCCGCCTCCCCCACCAGCGCAGCCTCCTCCAGGAGATGGTGGTGATCCTCTGGTAATCCTGCCAGTAACTGATGACCCGCAGTTCTCCAGAAAGCCAGTCTCTATACCAAAGACACCTGGAGTCAAGCAAAAAACCAACACCGCATCGTTACCCCATTGGGAAGAGAAACCTCGTCTATTCCATGAGAGGAGAAGTTTGCCCCATGAAGACCTACAGCAAAGGACACGGTTGGATTGGCTCATATTATATGACTTGCGGCTATGGAAGAAGACTCGTACTGACGTTCGGGAGTTGTATCTGGCAACAGTTGTCAATGTCCCAGAGTTCAAGAGGGTTCTAGGTCTTCGGTTCTCTGCTTTATACACTGCCCTGGCGCAGTTATATCTCATTGCAGACAGAGAACCAGATCATTCAATTATCAAGCTCTCTCTACAGCTATTTACGACCCCGTCCATCACAAAGGAAGTTGTTGAGCGTGGAAATTTCCTCACCAGCATAATGGCTATTCTGTATACTTTCCTGACCACAAGACAAGTTGGTGAACCTCACGATGTCAGTCCTACGGCTACCTTAGCAATGGACTCTGGATCGATCACAAATAGGAGGTTATATCATTTCTTCCTGGACTTACGCTACATCCTTGCCTCTGAGCACATCCAAAAATACCTAAGGACGGAAAAGCAGTACATTTTGCAGTTTATGGATCTAGTTAAGCTTACGCAGGGTATTTGTCCCAATGTTCGGGCAGTTGGTGAACATTTAGAGTATGAAACCGATGCATGGATAGGAGCTTCCATTCTCATGAGAGAGGTGACAAGATTATGCCGAATATTCTGTGAAGCATTCCGTCCAAATAACCTTGTTGAAGGAGACAACCACCTTGCGGATGCAATTATCCAGTCTTCCCTAGCAACAATGGTTAACTCGATGGGTCTGGAGAGAAAACGGTTTGCCCAGGCCGAGATTAAGGAACCGGTGAGGTTCAAAACAGTGCCATATCTTGAGTTTGAGATTGATGCATTTAATCAATGTGGGCGCCATACGGTAGTTGACTTTGTTGTGGAGCGAGGAGCTCTAAGTTTCCATCATGCGCTTCATTATATCCTTTCCTGGCTGCTGGAGTGCGCCAGAAACAAGCCGAAAGAATGGGTGCGAGAACTCTTAGACCGAGCGGTCTTACTGATGAAAGAGAAGTACCCGGTCACTCCATCAAATGCACTTGAGGCAGAAGATGTCATTTTGGCCATGTTTGATTTCCCTATAAGAGTATGTGCCTGGCTTGCCCAGATGAAGGCTGGAATGTGGGTTAGAAACGGTATGAGTCTCAGGCATCAAATGGGGCAGTACCGCGCAGTAATATCAAGAGATGTTGCGTACTGTCGAGACATCTTCTTGATCCAGGCCGCCATGGCAATCTGCGATCCAAGCCGTGTGCTTGCAACTCTATGCGAGAGATACGGGATACTGGAATGGATGAAAGGAGGATGTGTGGATCGACCTGGCTATGACGAAGGCCAGCATGTGGATGTTGCTGATGAATTTATGCATTTGCTGATAATACTGATATCTGAACGGACGTCGTTTTCAACCGGAGAAGACGACTCTGCGATTCAGCACCATGTCATCAGAAGAGACATTGCACATACTCTCTGCTTCAAGCCGCTCGCTTTCACTGACCTTAGCGCAAGGATAAGAGATGAGGTTGTTGAATCTAGAGATTTCCACCAGATACTTGAAGAAGTCGCCACATTCCGCCCACCTGATGGACTCAATGACACTGGGACTTTTGAACTAAAGCCGCAGTACATTGGCTTGGTAGATCCGTATTCCACTCAATACAGCAGAAACCAGCGGGATGAGGCTGAGAATATCCTCAGACAGTGGAAGGCAAAATCAACTGGAAAGAGTGTTCAAGAATCCATTTTTGAACCTAAACTCGAGCCAGTCCCTCCTGGTTTATTTACTGAATACACGAAGTTTACACGAACCCCTCTGTTTGCTCAGGTCATTCATCAGTTCTTAGAGTACTGCCTCATGTTCAAAATAAGTACGCCAACCATTCAGTTGACGCGGATCGAACCCTTTCTCCAGACGGTTCTCCATCTGACCCTTCTTGCTGTCTTGGAAGACCCAGAAGCAGATGAGGAGAACCCCGAAGCGAACAAACAAACCTTCACATACCATGCACTCACCAAAACCAAGTCAACACAAGTCGGAGACCTGACCATCATTGGGCTCTTTCAAAAGTTATCAGAGGTATCGACCTTTGAGTCTTGCGCACCCAAAATCAGGCATATATTGAAGGGTCTATGGAAGAATAATCCAAAGTTGTACTCTTCAACGTCAAATGACATTGTCTTCCCGTATGGCAACATATACCCATCGTCTTCCACCCCAGTGTCGGACAATGAAGCAGAACAAAAGAAGAAAAAGGCTCTCGAACGGCAGGCGAAGATTATGGCCCAGTTCCAGCAACAACAGCAAACCTTCTTGAATAGCCAGGAAAATTTCGACTGGGGCGAAGATGAGCTTGACGAGGCTGAAGACTCGCCACGATTCTCAGAAGAGAAAATCCGCAAGTATCCTTCTGGAAATTGTATATTATGCCAGGAAGATACCAATGAGTCGAAGCTCTACGGAACATTTGCCCTTATCACTGAGAGTTCCATATTCCGTGAGACAGACTTGAAGGACCAGGATTTCGTCAAGGAAGTCATCAATACCCCATCATCACTCGATAGGTCCGCTGAGTCTATCCGCCCGTTTGGAGTCGCAAGCGACAATTTTGAGCGCGTTCGACAGCTAGATTCAAAGGGAGAACTCATAATATCGACAAAACAAGGCTTGGGGAAGGGTTTCCCTGCCGAACTACATAAACAAGGCCCCGTTTCGACAGGATGCGGTCACATCATGCATTATAAATGCTTTGAGACTTACTACGCGGCCACCAGACGACGGCACAACCAGCAAGTAGCTCGAAACCATCCAGAAACCCTCAGTCTCAACGAATTTGTCTGTCCACTTTGCAAGGCACTAGGAAATGCCTTTCTCCCCATTATTTGGAGAGGACAGGAAATGGCATATCCAGGTGTAACAATTCGTGGATCCGACTTCACGGAGTTTATGTACAAGAATGTAGATGCAATGCTCCGAATGTTTAGCAGATATGCTATACCAAAGGAGGGTGAAATGAGCTTTGTTCCAGGATACGAACGGTATTTTTCCGGGTATCTTACACTGACCTTGACGCCCTCTCTCTCTCGCCATGCGGATACCCTTCTCTTATCCAGATTAAGCGCATCGCGAGGTTTTATACCTCATAAAAATACTGGCCATGGAATGGGTGATTTTGGAGATCATTCGGATAGTTGGGTATCCCCCGGTGACGATAGGCCAGTTCAGACTCCACCAGACGATCCTGCAAGTCGTATGTCCCGAAGCGCGGTAATTGCAGAATTGCTACGTCCACCAAGAGCGGATGAGGAAGACGGGCTTGCCGATTCTAGTCCGTTTTCTGAACTTACTGCTGTCTATTCGAGACTCCGGGAAACGATCAGACTGAATCGTATACCTTCGCGCTATGAATATCCACCTAGCAGTCTCCTATCCTCAGATCTAGTATACCTTGACTCCCTGTTCAAAACATTTGCTTATTCAATAACCTCTATTGAAATCGCTCAACGTGGTGTGGAAACAAAGCCTGGCGAAACTTTGGTAGATGGAATATCGGAGACTTCGTTAACACATCTACGGATCCTTTGTGACACTGCCTTATCGTACACCTCGCTAGGCCACTTGAACTTCCGTTCCCCTACGAAATTAATATGTGAGCTCCGTGACATGCATCGACGGAAGGTCCTTCAACTATTCTTCGGCTCCCCTCAACTCTCGAACACAGGAATATCAAATCTTGCCCGTGATTCTATGGATGTCGACCCGCTTCTTTCAACCGATACATTTGTCTTCTTAGCAGAAATCTCTCTCTGCATGATTCCTGCCTTAGACATGGACATTATGAACTATGTTGAGCTTTGCTACACTGCCGAAATTGTCAAGGTGGTGCTAACCTACCTCCTTACGCCTCAGGGATTGAAGGCAAATATGGACCAGGCTGCTGAAGATCACACCACCCCAGCTGAATACTCAGTGGTGAAAGACTTCATCATGTGGGTAATATCTGCCTACCGATCCTGTGCGTCCTTTGTAGCAGACCCAGCCTTGCAGGTCCTCCTAGATGGCATTGATAGGAATTATATACCTAAATACCGTCTCAGAGGCTGCCTCGAGGTAGTCCCGAAGTACATTCTTCCTTTCTTGCGAAAAACAGTGATATTACTTAATGTTAGGCACGGTGTTGACTTCTCAGCAGCCTGGGGCACAGATCACTCAGATCTGTCAGAGGTTGACCGTCTCTGTGAACTTTTACAGTTGCCAAAGATACCCATAATATTTGATAGGTTATCCTCTGCTGAGGACGGGAACCCACTATCTGCCGTCGTATGTGGGTGGATGGAACATTTTTGTATTTCGAAACATGAAGCCAAAGCCGCCGGTACACCACCACCACGCCTTTCGCTTATGCATCCAGCAATCTTTGAGCTTGTTGGGCTTCCTTATTACTTCGATTCCTTACTCGAAGAAGCTACCCAACGAACTTGTAAGACCACTGGGAAAGAGTTAACCGATGCTACCATATGCCTTTACTGTGGTGAAATCTTCTGCGCTCAAGCTAGCTGTTGCATGGTAAATACACGGTTGGGCGGCTGCAACCGTCATCTTGCAAAGTAAGTATAGTAATTCCTCTTTCTTTATCCTTTGTTTATGTGTTGTATTTGAATGGGGCTTAACATTTTTCCAGATGTGGGAGAAATTCTGGTATATTTATCAACATCCGAAAGTGCGCAGTGGTACTCTTGCATAACGGAAACGGATGCTGGAGGTTTGCTCCTTATCTAGACGTCCATGGGGAAGTTGACCCTGGTTTCAGACACCGCAGACGGCTTATGCTCAATCAGAAGCGATACGATCGCCTACTACGAGATATGTGGTTATCTCACAGTGTCCCCTCAGCTGTGAGTAGGAAATTGGAGTCCGAGGTCAACAATGGAGGTTGGGAGACTCTATGAATTGTTAGGGTACTCCAGGCCTTGTCAATGATTAAAATATCATTTTTCTACAAGTTACAAGCAAGTCTATATTTCATTCGTATGCATATTCGGTCTATTTATTGCGTTTTATACATTTGATAAAGCCTTCCGAGAGGCGTATGTTCTTCCACTAAATGATAGAAGAGTATCAATAACCAAAGATCCTAATGTTGTTTATCACCTTTTGTAAACATTCCGTATTTTCTTGCTGAACGATCTAGTTAAGCCCTTGGGACTTTCCCGTATATCACTCTGCTTACAGCGCAGTTTGATAGCCTCGATCTCCCTTTCCACACTTCTTTGTTCGGCATCAATTTTTCTTTTAACCTCCTCGGACACATTTTCATTCATATCTTCTTCACAGAGAGTGTTTTCCTCATATTTAGAGGCGATGTCCTCAGCCGCTCTAGATGTATTGCGAATGATAGGATCAGAGCCAGTCTCCCCTAGTGGGCAGACGACATAGTTGTACCAGTAGGACCCAAGGCCAACAATCCAATATTTTCGATCATCAGCAGCAAGGCTTCTTTTTGCGCGGCCCAGAGTCTTTTTGCTTTCGTCAAATTTCCCCGTGCGGAACTGGATTTGGGCAATCGAATATAGAATAAGTCCATGGTTGAAACTGTCTGCCCATCCCGCGCTTTCAACAAGTTCTAGGGCATGGTTCCAGCGGTCAATGGCATTGCTCCAATGGTGCTGAATATGCGATACTCTCGCAAGCCCTGTCCATACAAGAAAGTTGTTTGTTCTGGCGCTGACAGTCATCTTCTCAGCGGGCTTGCAAAGTGATACAAGCTTCAACAGACATCCTTCAGCTTTCTGAAACGAGCCACGCCGGATAAAGCTCTCAGCTAGGGCTAGCTGTATCCTTATCCCCCCACTGATAGTCTCCCATCCGCGTGTGTAGACTATTTCAAGCTGTTTTTTCAACACCGCCTCTGCCCTTTCTGGATATCCCAGTTCGCAGTACAGGTCTGAGAGGTTGGCAAATAAGGCCATATGCCAACCTTCACTTTCGTTGCAGTGCCGGTCAGTGATGTCCAGAAACATTTCTTCGAAATATTGCAGTGCTGCCTTGAAGTTTCCTTGGTTTTTGAGAATCCTTCCTAGTGCTATATTGCGGCCTCTTAAAACAGTGACTTCCATTGATGAAGGGCTCCTAGAGTCCAGGGGTTTCCAACTTTCAAGTACCTCTTGCGCATGTATACATTCATTTCCAAGTATCAAGTTTTCAGCGTATGAAGATGTAATTCGTCCTATGTGAGCGTTCAACCGTGGGTTAGAGGACAATCTGGAGCTATGTGCTTTAAAGTTATTGACATGCTGCTCCAAAGCTGCATTAGAGCCAGCCATGTCGCCCTCTAAGCGCAGTATTTTGCTCCGTCTATGGGCAACCCATGCCTGTAAGTAGTACTCTTCACTATCATGTAGAAGATCGCTGACTTTGCTCAAGCTTTCGCGTCTCCACGAAGCGGAACTATATTTAGAAGCGGAGAGTAGCAATGTGCAAAATGAATTCTTCACTTTTGGGTATAATTCTAATTCAGGCTCAACACTGTCAAACTCATGAAGGACATTGTGGACGTGCTCAAGGATTTCTCGTCCTATATCCCCAGAGCTATCATCAGCGAATGGTTAGCATTCTTGTTGTAGGGAATGTCGCTCATTACATAACAACTTACAACTCGGTGATGTATTCACCGTAAGGAAATGCCTGGGCAACCAGTAGAATCGCCTGTGCCCTCCATTTTTGCTGTACATCGAGAGGCACCCGGTGAGAAGCACAGTACTGAACTAAGGGATGGACGGAGATAGCCCTTCCTCCTCGGCTACTGAGAGTTAGTTGTATTAAAGAAAAGGCCAGCAAATTCTCGATTGCTTCATCAAGCTTCATCTCGTCAGTAATAAGGTCGATAAGCTCAGGGTCCAATCCCGCATCCACGGGAGAAATATCTGTGACTTCACCATCCTCACCCCATATTTGCTTAGTTGAGCAGCCGCTCCGCAACATGGATTCGGGGATATTAGAGGCTTGTAGGAATGAAAACAGTAGTAGTAGATGCGAAGCCCTTGGGGAGTCCTTTTCTAGCTGGCGGAAGTTAAGTTCCCAGACCGTTGCCACTGTCTTTTCGTGATCTCCTATGCTTGGGCTGATTCTCAGGACTTCATACTGTTTATTTTTAAACAACCGGTGATAATCCTTCAGTGATTTCTGGCGTCTCCGAATAAAAGCGCCAGCCTGGTCAATAGCCAAGGGCAGATATCCTAGTAGGTGGACAATTATGCTAGCTTCCTTGTCGTCATCTTCGGATGGTGTTTGAATGGCGGCTTTCCCAAAAAGAACTTGAATTGCTGCATTTTCTTCGAGCCCCGAGATTATCTGTCCTGCAGGGCTAATGGCCCCAAGTATAGCCTGATCACGGCTAGTGAGAATGATATGGCCCCAGGATGCGTTTGGGAAGTACTCCGTTATTTTAACGGACACCAAGTTGTCTATTCCGTCAAATATTAACAGCCAATCTCGGTTTGTTTGCCTGGAGAACCATCGCTTAAGAGAGTCCACTTTGTTAGGTTCTTTGGCGGAAGCGGTACCAAGAGGCAACATGTCATAAACCCGGTGGAAATCTGCAATTAATGCCGTTTGTGAGGAAGCATTGAAAAATGCAACTCCAGACTTGTACCTCGAACGATTTCGAAATGCGTATTCTACAGCTGTTTGACTCTTTCCAGAGCCTCCTATAAAAAGGTTAGCTTAATTCCCAAATACTTAACGAATATAGAGCCCTACCTAAGCCAGATATTACATAAACTCGTGGTTTATTGCAGTTAGATTGTCCAAAGTATGATTCCATCTCACTTAGCAGGTTTTGTCGTCCCTGGAAAGTGATGCAGCGGGCAAACGGTACTTCAAAAATAGGTTCATGGGTTGTCGTGATTCCTATTTTTGGACTTATTGCACCTCTTGGCTTTAAGGGAGAGCATGGTATTGGTGTTGCCTTTTTTGCCTTGATATTCTGGTAGAATTGAATGAGCTGTGAAACAACAGGACGAAAGTTGCGGTCGTCGGCCGAAGAGAACCGGCATATATTTCGATGATCGGCATATAAGTTAATGTTGACCTCTCCGGGAACCAAAAGCCTAGCAGATCGCCTTTTGATAATCTATAGCCGTAGTTAGAACAGAGGGTAACTAAGACAAGGAAGAAATAACATTCGTACGTGAGTGTTGAAAAGCCCGAACGATGTGGAATATAATTCATAAAATGATACTATGTGGAGCTTCGGTACTCTCTGGAGGAAATCTTCTCTAATTTCAAGAAGGGTATTGGAGTCCACACGGAGTATATCTAACAAGTTTTGAGCTGGATTAAGAGGGGATATCATTGTTGCAAATTTAGCAATAGCTCTGCCCGTTGTTGCAAGATCACTTCCATCATTCGGGGTAGCTATTACACTTCAGTACTAATTCCTTCACGGAGTTCTTATCAAATCTGAAATATATTTGGACGTACCTAAGAAGAGAATGCCGTATGTTGCATCTTGGATTGCAGTTCGAGCATCCACAGTTCTAATAGAAAGCGCCTATCAGTCTTTGGGTTAGCAGGTAGGTTATTAGGATAAGAGTAGTTGAGAGAAATAAAGAAAACCCTAGCACCTTTTTCACGATGATACCCCCTAGGCTATGGCATACAAATACTACTGGCCGCGTCGATGATACCTCAAGATGTCTCGTTAGCTGGCCACCGTACCACGATAGATGCAGTATCTGACCATACTTACATTGGTCCTCAAGTCAGCAATCTCAGCAAGTAAGGTCTCGCAGATACACCTCAGGTCCTGATCTCCGGTAAAGTTGGCGAATTTAGAATTATAGCCAAAGGTCATAATCCGGGCATTTGGTAAGCTTGCGGGAAGTAAGTCTTTAAGCCACATCACTCCGGTGTCTCTGTGTTTCCAGGATATGAAGGCATCTCCATTGAGTCCATGGACAGCTACTAGACTGAGCAACCAGTTAGTTATACCCACACATGATGTACACAGAGTAGACACGACTCACTCAAAGACAATATCCTCAGCCTTCTCTGGGGAATGAAGTACCGTTAATCCATATGTGTCCGACAACTCTTTGTTGGTCGGCATCCTGACTTCAGTAACTAGTTATCAATCGAGAATGCAGTTCAAAGGCGATTGAATGTGACCATGACAGTTCCACCCCATAAACGTGATGGGCGACACCAGGTACCTATTTGCTCACATTTACACAGGGTTTGTCTTGGAGCATCTCCATACAAATCCAGGGCAACCATGGCTGTTATAAAGCCCCAGGTTGCAGGATAAAAATAGTTAGGCGGGCGCTAGTTACGGTGAAAGTGGCCTGCATGCATTCCGTATGAATAAGAAGGCATGCAGCGCGAACAGTGAACACTGTTTGATGGCTGCAGAACCCATGTTCAGCGCCTGTCAGGGTCATAAATTTAGTCCTCGACCCGCCCCCTGAGTGGCTTTGAGGGCTTCCATTGGCCCCCAGCACATTCCTCTAGTTAAGCGCCCACAATCATGCGGGTGGTTCAAAATACTGTTGACGTGTAAGTAGTTAGTTAGTTATCAAACCGCCGAGTCAAAAAGGGGATCCCCTAACCTATTGGTGGGAGAGAGAGTGGTTACATATCTTTGACAGAATGTTAACTACTTGGTCCTGTGCACTCAGCAACCACTGGAGAGTTAACTGACCCGGTGTTTTACAGACTCTGCCGAGGACTAGTTAGTTAATTGGCGCTTTCCTGACACATTTCCCTCGCTTTTCGTCGATGCAGGCCAGTTTTCAATCCCCTAGCGACCTGGTTGGCTCTTCAATGTGCGTCACCAAGGGTTAACCAGCTATTGACTTGTTAATTGGGGCATATCACTTTTAAAAGGCAAGGATTGTGCTGATGACAGGGGTGTACAGCCCACAGACGATCTCATCATGTGAGTCAGCCCGGCGGTTAGGCAGTTGAAGAAATATATATATTAATGGATGTCGGTTGATCAAACGATAACTTTTGGCATTCCGCGATGGTCTTTCGACTATCACATACCTGGTTTGGAAGATATATTCATTCAAACGCTAGTTGCTGGGTCAGAGCAATGGAGGGAACCGTAGCAAATCCGACATATCATGTACGCAGGCTATTCTCTCGTCCAAACCCGAACCATTCATTATCAAGGGTTCAGCTCATGAACGGTAACTAAGTAGGATGCCATTCAAAGGCTGAACTCGACCCAGACTGGATTCAAAGTACTGGAAGAGAGGAGGCGATTAGCACAGAAGCTGGACTCCTCTGGTATTGAACAGATGCGTCAATGGCTTCGGCATGTAGGCCATTCGGTAATGACATCTTATCGAGTCCAGTATAGTTAACTTGTTATGCTGATTCCATGCCTAGACGAAAGCCCTGGACCGCCTAAATATCGTCCATGTGGCTGGGACCAAGGGAAAGGGGTCAACCTGTGCCTTTGTCAACTCCATTCTCGAACAGTACCGTGCAACAACAGGGGCCCCGGAAAAGGTTGGAATGTACACATCTCCCCATCTTGTGGCTGTACGTGAGAGGATCCAGATCAACTCGAAACCCGTATCCGAGGAGCTTTTCACCAAGTACTTCTTTGAAGTATGGAACGCTCTTGAGTCGTCAGCAGTGAGGGAGGGCCTCGACCCAGCAATGAAACCCTCATACTTCCGGTTTCTGACGCTGATGTCCTTCCATTTATTCCTGAGGGAAGAGGTGACCGTTGCCATTTATGAGGTTGGAGTCGGTGGTGAGCTGGATTCAACAAACATCATAGAACAACCCGGAGTAACTGGAATAACCTCGCTTGGGATTGACCATGTTGCGACGCTCGGCCACACTATCGACAAGATTTCCTGGCACAAAGCAGGTATCATGAAGACCGGATGCCCAGCATTCACCGTGACCCAGGCCCCTGAGGCCATGTCTGTCCTTAAGAAGAGAGCGCAGGAGAAAGGAGTCACGCTAGGCCTTGCCGAAATAATACCTGCTCTTCGACAAGTAGATATCAAACCAGCTGAAGACTTTCAGCTGCAAAACGCATCTCTTGCCGTGATCCTGGCTTCTGAGATACTCCGAAAGCTCAACATTGCGCCGGGTATCGACTTGGAGAACCTCCCAGTACAGGTTGTCGAAGGGCTCCAGAGAACGGTATGGAAAGGACGATGCCAACTCATAGACCGCAACAATCAGCAGTGGCATCTTGACGGTGCGCACACGCACGAGAGTCTGCAGGTTGCCAGCTCCTGGTTTGGCCGTCTTTGCCAGAACACGTCAGTATATCCTTCTCCCCCCTCCCCCGGGATCTCCCTCGCAGCTCCACGGTTTGACACCAAACCACCCGTCGTCTCTGACCATCCACGCAATATAGGGCCGAGCCGCGAATTCTCATCTTCAACCAGCAGTCCCAACTCCGGGATGTTGATGGGCTCCTTAGCACAGTGCATGACGTCGTATACAACCGGATGGGTTTAAATTTTCAGCATGTTATGTTCTGTACAAACATCACATACAAAAGTAACGAGTATAAAGTTGGTATGTGTTTGGCGAGCATCCATCCATCCAGACCAGCCACAGAGTTAACCAGCAGATATGTTTGCAGATTTTGTAGATAAGAACGTTGACCCTGAGGATCTAAAAAGCCTCGTCTTCCAGAAGAAGATGGCAGACTGCTGGAGCAAGCTTGACCCAGCTTCTCAGGTCTCTGTGCTGCCGTCTCTTCAAGAGGCCGTCGAGCTGGTTGACCAAATCGACAGCAGCACAAAGGGAACAAAGATCTTCGTATGCGGGAGCTTCCGGCTGGTTGGTGGGATGCTCTCGCTCCTGGACCAGCAAGTCTCGGATGTACGGTGAGTAGTTAAAAGAGGTCCTCAGTCGGGGGATGAAGGGCTGGCTTGGAGATGCATTTCCTTTGTTTGTATGTAGCTGTGGCGTTTTCTCAACGGCTTTGTAGATAGATAGATATATGACCATGCGGCCGGACTGGATAAATAACACCTAGCTTCAACGCCTACAATAACATTGGAAGTCCTCTAAACCATAGTTACTAGTGACAAAAACTGAGGGATCGAACGGAATGAACAGTATTCAAACTAGCGGTTGCTATGGCAGGTTCTGGCTGATTATCAGAACATCTGAAAAGACTAGATAAAATCTTCAATATTCTTTTTAGTTAATTGCTAACAATATATCAAACAGCAGATCAGGTCTTCAATAGCAAAAAAGGCACGAAAACACAGGCTGAGCATCAAAAGCCCGGTACTTGCTGCCAGAAAGGAAAAATACAAGTCTAAAAACGCCACCCTCTCATAACTCGCCAGCCGAGTGCCCGTCTATCACTTTACATGCCTGAAATAAGAGAAAACAGAGGGAAAGGAGTGGGAAGGGAGCGGTAAAAAAAGGAGTGGTAGTGAGAAACCGGGCAGGATGGCAAGGGCTGAAGAGGAGAAATTGTCATGACACTTCCTAATAGAAAAGGGGTAGGGTGAAATCGTTCTGTGTGCAAGTATCGTTATGCATAGAGCAGAAAGTCGTAAAACATTTAACATTAAAATAAATATCAGTCGGCCTGGAGTCATTTTTTTTTCTCACTCCCCTGAGTTCAATAGCCAGAGAGACGGGTCTATCATTGGCTCGGGAAACACCCGGGTATCTTCAATGTCTTTGAAGATGCGTGGTAGGAACACGTCAAGAGTGGGATTAGCGGTCTTTATCTCAGCTCGATTAAAAGACCTAAGGGTAGATTCAATAGGGTCTAGGATCCTGGAGTCTGGGCTGCCTGTTCGGATAACTCGAGCCAGGTATGCACAAGCAGTATATATAGCTAGCGAACATCAGTCAGTACATCTGTTACCTATCACACTATTCGATGTATCACACTATTCGATGCTGCAATGGATACTCACATAAAAGGATAAAGGGGTTAAAATGCTTGATGTTATGGAGTAAATTTCCTTCAAGCATTACCCCTGAAAGTGTTATGATTTCCATCGCTGAGTTCTGACACCTCAGTTGCCAGGATTCAATCAGGGCTACTGGCAGCCGGGCTGGTACGGCTGCGGTGATGGCTGTTTGATAAAGTGAAATTGCGGCAGCATGTCTAGCGGCGTTTAGGAAAGAAACAGTGGGATCTGCAAGCAGAGTGAACTGAGTCAGGTCACCAAGACAGGCTTCTACCCTGTTTATGGTAGCGTCAAGCGCCTGATGGCTGGCCCAGAACTGCTGTTGGTTCTGGTCATCCAGTTCATAGCTGTCTGCATGCCGAGCATGTTTAAGGGTCTTAGCCCATGTCGTAACAATAATGATGGTAGCCATATATGGGGTCATTGGGGATAGATCAGGGGACTGTAATAGATGGCTTAGGGTGAAAGGATGTTGGGGAGGGAGTATATCTGAGCTTTGGTGAATGTATCTTGGAAGACGGGTAGAGATCTAATGATGATGATAAGTGGCAGTTCTTTATATCAAGGATAGAATTCGTCTCACCTCACGCTCCGAAAAGGCCAGGGAGCCTCCAAAGGATATATTGATCAGACAGTCAAAGACATAGGTAGCCCAGAACGTGAGTCTCTTCTCTTCCAGTTCTACTTCATCTTCCTCCGGCGCACCGACTCGGTCAAGCTTTTGCAAGCCCAGCAGCTGGACCAGCCGGGTACATCTGGCATGAGAGATCCATGCCCGCGGTAGATATGATCGTCTGAACTCGTACAGAGCTATTAGCAACGAGGCCTGCAGAGTCTCGATCTTGAAGAACTGGCTTCCAGGCCCGCCCATGTCTGATAGCTCAAGTTCTCTTCGGGCGCGGTGGTAGCAAGCTTCCTCGAGGGAAGGATTGCCAGACACCAAAGCCCCATGGGTGCAAATGGCATAGTAGATACTGCTCTTCCATGGCTCTGACTGGATCACCACGGGATTAGCGAGGTGCCGCCATTGATCGAGCATTGGGAAAAGGTGACTGTGTGATTGAAAGAATGCTTCTTGGCTACAGTTGATTGTTTTCCTGTAAGCATAACAAGCCGGATCTCGATGGGAGGAAAGGCAAGCTTACAGTTTTAGCATGTTTTGCGGTGATAGTATACGATCTTCGTAATTTGAGTGAGGAATGGAAAAAGACGAAGATGTAGATGAGCCAGAAGAAGGCTGTGTGACGGGAGGAAGCCCAGCAAAGGTATCCAAAGCCCACTCGGGCTGCGGGGATTCCATGTCAATGGGCAATGCCATGTAAGAAGATGGGCTGAGGGGAATGGGGCTCTGGATGGTATTGGTAGGCCAGCTGGTATAAGGGTAAGTGCCTGGGGTAGCAAGGGGGTCTTCAGTGATGGCCCAGCATGCTTGGTTTGCTAGCTGGGCTTCTGCTCTTCCTGCTCAGTTGGAGAACGAGCACCGGTCAGTAGACGGATTCCCAGACGGTAAATTGATATAAATCACATACTGAGACGGTCGTTCATCATCTGGAGCTGCTGCGTGAGGTCGGAAGTTCCGGCATCTGAGCTTGACGGAGTTGTATAGACACACGACTGCGACTGTCCAGCGCATCTCGAGCACGGCTGCTGTCCATCACAGCGGATCTTGCGTTCCCGGCAAGTGCGGCAAGCAATGTGTCTTGGGCGTTTGGACATTTTGTAGTTGTATGAGTATCCGGTTTGAGTATCCGGTCTTTGGGTCAAAGAATAGGGAGAGGCTCCCGAAGCTGTGTGTGGGCGTGTGTGGTCGATCCGAACCAACGTCGTGTGCTCCAGGCTTGAATATATATATACCTTGGTAAGGGGAGAGTGTGATAGACTTGATATAGTACTTCACGGCGCATTGCAGAGAGCTCGTGCCTTCATATATGTACTTATATCCCACCCTCGAACCCCCTAAGCCCCCCCCAAAAGGAGATCCGTGAGAGGCTGGCATGGGTATGGGACCTCTGGCAGCCCCACTGAACACTCTCAAGCAAATCTGCATCCTTTCCCGCTTGCTGGGAATGTGGAATTTGCGTCTCCCTTTTTTTTTGCAATCCTCGTCCAGCTTTGGCTCCAGCTCTCGAGACAGAGACAGAGACAGAGGGCGCCAAAAAGTCTGACAAGGAAATGAAAACTGTGAGCACCCCTGCACCATGTGCTATTTTATTTTCAAATTGAAAAAGAAAGAAAAGCCTTCCTTTGCTTCAATTTTACTTTCTTTCTTTCTTTCTTTTTTTTTTTTTTTTTTTTTTTTTTGCATCTTGGTGGTCAAAGTAACTATCCTCCTGGGCGTGTGAGTATATCCCGGCCAGCGGTCACCAATATTGGACGGCCTCTCCTCCTCCCCCCCATGCGGGCCAAGTTGCGCGCTGGGTCGGGGAAGTGGAAAAGGATGCCAGCCCTCTGCTCCACTGCAGCGCTACCAGAGGGAAAAGAAAGGGAGAGGGAGCCAGGGTTTGGAGGTTCAAGACCAATCACTCTATGGTCCAAGGCTGGTCTCACACTTGCATCTCGCATCCACTCGTCTTCAGCGCTGCTCTGTATGGAGCCAAGCGGGATTAAACATCCTTCCTTCAAGAAGGCAACGTCTTAGCCATCGGCCAGGAATCAAGCTCGTCCGCATGAAGGCCATTAATAAGTTTAAAACTCGACGTGTGCGTGAGCCTGTCATGCCTGACGTCGTCGTTACTTACGACAGGCAGGACGGGCGCAGAAGAAGCAAAGCGAGAAAAAGAACAGAAGATTGAGAAAAAGCAACGAAGAGGACGAGGGCTGGATGTTGGTTAACTAGTTAGTTAACGAGTTAACTTGTTGACGCGCTGGCTGGTGGTCAGTCCATTATCTTGATCGTCTTATAACTAGGCATCAGTGACCAGGCCTGCAGATGACCCCGATATCCCCAGACTCGATGCTGATAAGTTAACCAGCACGCTAACCAGTTAGTTACTTAGTAGCTAGTTATTAATTGCCTGCTTGACGCTGGAGACGAAGCCCACGGTCTCCCCCACGGCCGCGGGAGGGGAGATGGCCGGTAAACCGGTCAGCGAGTCAACATTCTGGTCGTGTGGGAGAGGAGGCTCATCCTCCTTCACTCGCCTGGGGCTCTTCCTGTTTCATCCTCTTCTGATGAGTGACTAAGGGGAGCAGAGAGGCTGTGTGGTACCGCCAGCCGTGGTTGGTCGAGTACTCTGCAGCCCAGCTGATGGATGCTGATCGATGATCCCGAGGGCAGAGCCGGCCACATCACAGCGGGTAGAACGCCCCTTTCCCACAGCCTTCTTCTGCCAGATGTTCCAGATGGACTGTCGAAGCCGGCCAGGTGTGACAAATTACTCAGGTATTCCCACTAACTAACTATTCATTAGCCAGTCTCGGTGGTATCTTGCGCCCTCTTCTTGAGAGGCCTCTCCGCCCCAGGGTGGTAGGCGTCTATACGAGGAGCAATCGTATTGTTGCTTATTCCACCTGTGACTGTTACCAGGGCCACGTTGAAGTAGGGATGACAGTCTTGTCTGCTCTGAGTTACATACCTGCATGTACAGCGTAGGTATATCCTCCAGGCGCATCCAGGTCAAACAGGGGGAGAATATTTCCTTGCCCTGCTGTGCATCCAAGTCCGACGAACATCCCCTATTTTGGCTACCGATCAGTGCTTCTAATCAGTTGTCCAGCGTTGCATCATACATCATCTATCAGCAAGTCTAGCCTGCTCGCGGACAGCCGTCATCACCACGGTTATTTGGCCGCTGGCAGATTCCATATGCGAGAAGATGAACTGGCTGTACACAAGCGACCACAGCCCTGAAATGCCGAGTGATAACTACTGGTGACTAGTTAAGAACACCGGGCCTGGCAAGGTAGTTACCACGGCGTGGACTTCGTATGCCATCCTCCAGACAGCCCCCTTCCGATTGTTTTAGCTGCTGCGATGTGCTATGGAGAATGGACTATGCATAGCCGCCTATGTGCCACACTCCTCATCCTCCACCGCTAGGAGCAGCGGGATACCAATGGGATATGCGATACGGCACCTCGGAAGAGCGGATAGTTGACGGGAGAGCAGAAGGGCACCTCGCCAATCCCCCTTTTCTTCTGTTCTCCATCTAATAAACATGCACAATATTTGATTATCATCTGCTCACCCCCATAAAGGCATCAATTGCCTCTACCAGAGGCATCATAACTTCTCTTGAGGCGTGGGGTTTGTAGGATCAAAACGTGGCCGGCGATCATCACTCTGTGCATGTGGCTATCTCCAAAGACGGTTGTTGGAGAAATCGTCGAAGAAAAAGAAACAAGCTGGCTGAGCGTAAAATGAGGCCACGGAGACGTAACTGACTCTCTCCCTCCCTTTTCGTCAGTCAAGAAGAAAAAAAAAAAAAAAAAAAAAAAAGGTACGATAGAGGTCTCCCCTATTTTTGCGCTTTTGCGCAAGCCAGGGTGCCTCTTCCCTGCCATATTTCCTCGCAGGCATTTTGACTATTCCATATGGACGAGACAAGGGAGCCAGCACTCCAGAGAACGGGCAAACCTATGTTCCAAAAACCAAGAATTCATTCTGTAGTAACTAAATTCCTTGAATATATTTCTGTCTCTGCAGTTAGAAACGAGTCAGTTATGCCAGTTAACTGACCGGTTAACTACTGCAACGGCATGATGTTGAATGGAAAGACACCCACGCAAGACCTGCCCGGTATCCCAAGACATAGTTAAATCACCCGCCCCTGAAAAGTAGCCAGTTAAACTAGTTAGTTAACTAATTAACGAGTTGATTCCATTCGACCGGCTCGGCAACCCCACGGATAAAAACGCATCAGAAAACAATCCAAACATATATCCAAGGATCTCAAGGAATGCTGTTATTTGGGCTTTGTAAAAATAGAGAGCTTTCCTTGCCTGTTAACTAGGGGATACTCTGACAACGGGGCCCCTACTCCCTCCCCCTGACCCGGCCAGTTCTGCAAAACAAATGAGCAGAACTGGACGGAGCCACTCGGGATGACGACATTGAAGATGACAGTGCGAAGTAATCTTTCGTGGGGGTTATCCAGCTACTGAGCTCGTTATCGTGGTGGCAGACATAGGAAGTGAGATGTGTCTTCGGGGAGAGGAGGGGGGGGGGGGGGGGTTCTAGATACATAACTAGTTACAGTAACTAAACTAGTCCTCGGATGCATCTCCATGATCCCGCCATTCCGCGCGAATTAGCTGGTTAGAAAGACGACCAGATGGATTATCTGAGCGGAGTGGCAGTTATTGATTTATAGATAGGTCGATTTAAATCTTCCTGCGGCTTATCTACGAATATATAGGTCAATATACTGGACTCCTAGGGAGGAACCAAGAGGCATCCTTATATGATTGATTCTTTTCTGACCCCAGGGAAAATCAATGCTATACCAGTATCCATTATCCATCACTTTTGACTACTTGTCCATTAACTGGTCATTACTCTTATTTCTAGCTCATTCACAACCAACACCCCCTCCCCCCTTTGGGGAGGGGCAGGCTCTGGTATAGTTCTGTGGCTATTTAGCCTCCCTCAGAGCATTTCAGGCGTACAAGACGACCTCAAATCCATGATTCTCGTATCTCCAAGGTACATAGGGTCAGCATTATATACTAACCCTCATAGCTCGGATTCAGAAGCGGTGTGCGTCACCCCAGAGGGCAGTTGGGGATATTTATACCGACACAGCTGCGCGAACTTGAGAAGAGCCGCACTATCAACGGCCGTAGAGATCTCATCGCGGGGCCAGCAATCCTGGTCCGCCATCTTCGCTGTCCCAGGTTGAATGTAGATGTAGGCGAGACACTGCCATGTTGTCGTCGGCAAATAATTCCCTTCATCTGCCCATATTTATAGTACATGACCACCCAAGCCTCGACAGTTAAGTAATAATAGATCTTGATTGCGTGTTTCAAAAGGGTCCTGTTTATCTATTTACCCCATCTTCCAGCCTCACCTTCTTCTGACCTCTCATTGTCTCCTGGACAGCTTGAACTCGCTGTATAATAATGACAGTTTGGAGCTGTAACACTTCCCGGACTCACTTCAACTTGCCAGCACGACCTCGAGAAGCGATGACGCAGGAAGAAGGCTATGAGTTCACTACCTTCAGAGGGTCTGACGCCGGCGCAGTAGTAGCCTCTCAGACGAGACGAGCGCCCTTAACGAGCAATCAAGTGATGATCTCCATCACTCACTCCGGCCTGTGTGGAACGGACCAACATTATCGAAAGGCCGGCTGTGTACTGGGACATGAAGGCATAGGCGTTGTCCAGTCTCTGGGGCCGGATGTGAGAACCCTGAGGATGTAGGTCCTACCCGCCGCTGGTTAGAGAGAGAGAAGAAGAAACTTACTAACAACAGTCTGATATTGGTCTGGCTAGCGGACAGCGGGTTGGCTGGGGCTATGTTCATGGCAGTAAGTCATTCACCCTTTTCTCTAGATTGGTTATTGGAGAGCAATCAACTCGGCCCCGAAATCCCGCTGAAGTTTTCTAATTATACATAACTACGTAACTACTCAATCCCACAGCTTTCAACAAGACACGAGCATGGAATTTGCAAATTGCCCTGACTACCAAGCGCAGCTTTGACTGACACTATGTCTTACTGCCTAGCATGTTACAAGTGTCGGCAATGCCTTGAAGGCTACGACCAGTTCTGTTCGGCACGCCAAGTATACGGCGTGACAAATCTTGACCAAGGGTCCATGGGGTATGCAGCTATATGGCCGGAATCCTCCCTTTATGCAATACCCGACAAGCTCTCCTCGCTCGACGCTGCACCGATGATGTGTGCTGGAGCAAGCATATTCAACATCTACGAACAATGCGGCATCAAACCCAACGATAGAGTTGGGATTATAGGGCTAGGGGGTCTTGGCCACATGGCACTGATATTCGGAGCCAAGCTGGGCTTGGAAACGGTCGTCTTTACGCATAGTGTTGCAAAACAAGTTGACGCTATTGTCATGGGTGCAACAGAATTCATCCCCCTTGAAGACCTGCCACGCATTATCTCAGCTCGGCGGAAGCGGCGGGACAGTGACAGCGGTATCGATGACCAGGAAAGAAATAGCATGGATGATGGAAGTGAAGTCGACGCTGAGAACATCCGACCGCTAGACCACTTGATAGTCACCACTACAGAGAGCATAGATTGGTCTACTTTTTTTGAGCTGATGGCTCCACGTGGTACGGTGCATTTGCTAGCCGGGAACACGAAGGACAATCTTGTTGTACCTTCTGCGGCGCTGATCGACTCCGGGCTACGGGTGTTCGGTAGCCTTGTTGCCCCGAGAAGCGTCATGATTCGAATGTTGGACTTTGCCGCTAGAAATCGGGTGAAGCCAATAGTACAGAAATTCCCCCTCACGGCAGAGGGGGTCAACACTGCATTCCAGAAACTGGATGAGGGGACCATTCGATACCGCGGAGTGCTGGAAACCCCGATGGACTGTTTATACAAGGTTTCACCATAGCTCATTTTTCTCCTTACCTTACGAGTAACCGCACGATCGGCCAGTCCAACGTTGGGTTTCATGTTTTTATTCGCTCGCTTAGAGATTGGAAATGCACTTCCTTTGTTCTTGTGTCTCAGACTTAGCTGTTGCATACATTCCTTGATTACGACAGATTTTATTGCTTCAACATCCCTATAAAAATCGGAAGGCGATCATTACCATGAGGTTATACATCCATATAGCCTATCCTTCCTCTTGAACGTTATCTGTACGCCCGTTTAAAAATTTCTCTAGTCACAGACCGAGCAAGGGTGGCATAGCACAACTACAAAACTAGTTGTCTTATGAAAGCTCCTGGCTGAGACGAAAGAGATGTTCATGCAGGCCCGTTTGGCCATGATATAGGCATGCCATGATTATCCGATCCTGTATCCCTCTGCAAAAACATAGCCACGTTCTCTCTAGTAAGACAGAAGAAAATCGGGCGGGAAAGGATTGCTCTCCCAGCATCAACCTCTTCTATACGTAGAAGTAAATCTGCCAATGATGTCATGGCCAAAAAGCACTGACAATAGCACATTTTTCTCATTGGTCAATAAACGGTTAAGGTTCGATTTATAGATGCCGATCATTACCGCTTTTACACAAGCGCGGCTTTATTTTTGCAAAAAGCTTGTGGGGCAGGTCCAACCTTAACCTTATATACCTGAAACTCTAACCTTCTTGTTATGTTAAAAAAAAAAAAAAAAAAAAAAACCAAACTTTCTGCCAATCCATAACACGAGCAGCCATGTGATGTCAGCAGCTTGCTCGCATAGCAAAAAGGCGAAGCAACTCCAGTTCTCTCCAGGCTCAAACGGAGAGTTAGTTACACAGAAGGTTGAAACTCTTCCTGTGCCTGGCTTGGCCGCTTCATCCTTAGTCTGGAAGCTCGAAGCTTGCTCTGCTCTGTGTGAGGATAGGAGTCGATCAGCAATTAGTACCCAGGCCTTTGCTGCAATCTAGACATAATTAAAGACAATTGCATTTCTTCAAGAAGTATTTTTCTTATCAGCTATGGCATGCCCCTGGCAAACGGTGCTCAATCTGACCGCTACTGCCAAGGTACGCATCGACCCCAGGATATACCCACATGCCTACCAAGACTAATATCGGCCACGATGCATACCGTGCGGGCAAAGACCAATCCAATGTGATAATCAATATCAAATCGACAGTTCATCTCGTTTCAGAAGTGATGAGGAGACTTACTCCGCCACGTGGGTCCAAACTGTTCCCTGTTGCCATGTTTCCTTCGTGCCAACGAGTGGAAGTATAACTAAATCAAAACCGCGAGAGGGACAATGATGGAAGAAAAAGAAAATAACAGGCACCTCTCATCCTTCAGAAGGCTAAAGGAGCATCATACCCCGAGAGTAAAAAGTGGTTTCAATCTACATTTAATCAGCAGACGGAGGGAATGTACGTGCATATAGATTGATGGAGATCAGTTTAATAACATTGTCTCCTCATGAGTATACAGCAGAAGAGTAGTTATATTATTACTATATCTAAAGATTGTATCAAAATATATATATCTGGATTAGATCTTGTCTTTATTTGAGATATGGACTGCTAGTCAGAACTCTAGAAGAACTCTAGGTTGTGCTACCAACCACGGAACATTTGGACCAGGCTCGGGCTCTCACAAACTCCTTATCTTTGACGATGAACGAAAATAACAAAAATAAAGGAAAAGAAAAGAAGAAAGAGGGAAAGAAAGAAGAAAGGAAAGAAAACGAAAAGGAAGACTATCGAAGACTTCGATTCAGGGATGTATCCCTTCCCGCAAGGATATTACTTCAGCGATGCCACCAATCAGGTTTCTGCCCGGAGCATGAGATAGAAGGCTGAAACATAGCCCAGACCACGCAGAAGAATAAGGAGTGAGAGCTCCCCCTCGGACTGGTAGTTGAGGAGCCGCTGCACAGCCAATCTTATAAATCCAAGGGCAAGCATCAGGGATCGGGTATAGGCATAGCTGAAGGAAAAGATTAATTTAATCAGCTTTGCGTCTTCTTCCTTCTCGTTATTTCAATGTCAAGTTCTCCGTATCTCGGTGTCTTGGTAATTTGGGGGCCAGCCAAATCCACGTTTCTTGTCTATCGTATTCAACCCTTGTCTGCCATGCGTAGCTATAATTTCAAACCACGTTTATCCCCTTTCTTTTTGGCCGGATGCACTTGATCAGTAGTTGTTGTAGAAGAGCTGGAAGCTTTTGATTATTACCAAGCGGGAGAGGATTAATGAATCTCTCCAGATGCTGTGGCGTTCCCAAGAGACTAAGGAGAGGACAGCAATGTGATAGATCTACCTCCCTGATGTTAGATGGTTTCTTACGAATGTCTCAGAAGCTGTGTGATGCTGCTGGTTAACCTGGAGTTAACTCTGACTCTCGCTAGAGATGAAATTGATTGAAGTGCGAGTTGTTCTCACGGCTGGCCCTCAACGTCAGCATCCCTCGTAAGTGATATATTCATTATATTGCAAGCAGTTGACCGAGTGCCCCTGCTGCAGCGTTCCATGGAAATATCTACGATGGCATTCGGACATATTACCCACCAGCAATCCCATCGACTAGCGAGCTATCCCCATGACAGCACCAGGCTGCTGTACATGTAATGAGCAACAACTGTCTGGCTAAAGCCCTAGCAGTGGATAAATACTCGGGCATTTCCTTGGGACACGGGAAGACAGGAAGCCTTCCGGGATAGCGGTCAGTTACTGTTGGCTATTCAAATCGAACATCGCCGTCTAGACAGACGATCTATACTGAGTAGTTAGCGACATCGCCAGCCATACTTATGCGTCAGCAGTCAGTCAATGTCCGCTGCATGATGGCCTTTCCATACCTCCAGCCCGCGCTGTACATGAAGGTTCGTAATCCCCTTTTCTTGTCTAACTCTTATCCTCTCCAATGTAGTTACATTCTCGGTTGTGTCTCGTAACTCAGCTGGACTGCTCAATGACCGACAAGCGAACTAACTGATGGCCTTCAGATCCACGTCGGTGAGGTACGTTCTGGTTGTACCCTCAGTCAGCCATCTCCCCTAGAAGAGACATTGGTTCTCCCCAGCTGTTGCTGCAATGAGCCCCGCGTCTATCAAACATCCAAGTCTCAGATCCTGACGGGATCGCACAAGGGCTGTGCTGCCTGCCCGCCACCCGTCGATCCAGCGCTAGTTAGCTAGTTATCTAGATGCTGGCCGTGTGACTGGACTAGATGGCTTTCTTCCCCGGAGAATCGGGCCCAGCTAACGCGGCATGACGGTGGCTAGCATACGCCCCAGGGATTCATCAAATCGGTCGATGGATTCAAACCGTATATCGATGCCACTATTACCTTCGGCAGTGACTGGCTCTCATCCAACTCTCTCGACATGCTGCCACGTATGAATATGATCGGCCTTGCGCAGTGAGTGCTCCTCCATCAGCTAGTTGGGGGCTATATTAGTTAGTTATCAATATCACGGTTTGATATTTTAACTAGTGGACAAAACTAACTACCCGCTGTGCTATTTTAATCTCTTCCCGGGGGTTTCTATTTCTAGCTAACCTTTTCGACCCAGAAACTATGATGGCATCCCCTTTGCATTCCGGTTCGATGGTATAGTAGCCATCTCTCGAGACGCGGCAACTCCTACACCAAGTGCATGCACTGTAGCGCCCAAGACTGCTCCATTTGGCTTCTCAAGTAAGCACTACGCCTCCTTGTTGCGCACTGGTGGTCTCTAAATATAACCTCTGGCTCGCCATATTTCGGTCCTTATATAGCTAACCTTCCGTCTAGCCACAAACCACTCCTTTTCCAGTGGCCACGAGTCTTTTCAAAATATGCTAAGATATTCTTATGTCGGCCACAGCAGATACACCGTCACCGGAAATGGCATTCTGGTCGAATGCTTCGTATCCAGGCTGACGCATGTTTGCTGAATCTGGACAAAACAAGAGAAAACGAGGAAGTGTGTGAGAGAGAAAACGGCTGGCCATTCGAACCCCGTTTATCTATGCATTGCATTTATGATATTTTGCATCTGTCGGGTGGGCGGGATCTTTCGTTTTTGGTCTTATTTTTTATTTTTATTTTGTTTTCCTTCGAGAGGCACAGGTGTTCTCAATGGGGAAATATATCGGATTCATGTATTTTGTAAAGTCTGGGGTGTCGTTCAAAAGGCTGCATTTTATACAATACTTCTCGCTGCTTGGCCGTCTAGATTGGATAGTAGGACTGATACTGGCCATGGACGTCGATATACCATGTACTGAAGTATCTCCAAGTATCACTCGCGGGCCGAAGCAAGTACGCGATTCTGCTGATGGAGGGTGTGCTATACCACAGGCATGTCAAGCTTTATGTTGCATAAAGCCGAGTATTTAGAATATGGATGTAAGCAAAGCATTTCCCAGCAGTAAATGCAAGCTGCTGGTAAAGTAGTCACCCGCATCCCCAAAAGAGGAAGATGATGAGCCTGACAAGGAGGGAAGAGCACAGATGGGGCAAAATGAGCTCGCTTAGACCGCTGATGGAGAAACATTGCCGTTAATATGTATGCATTATATGCACCAGGCGCACCAGGCACATCAACTGTGCCAGAACAGACCGAGTACGTCAATCCTCATTCTGACTTCCCTGACATTTGCCATCAGCCGAGAGATGTAGATGGAGGAGGGAGCCCCCACTCCCAACAGACAACAGACCCTTGCGAGAGAGGTGCGCCTAGCCACTGCAGGACATATGGATTACCTCTATACCAGGTGTCTAGCTGTCTGCATGAGGAATCCCATCCTTATGCTAAATCCTGCCAACAAAAAAAATGGACACGGACCCCTTTGGCTATGCGGCGGGAATGCAGCGGGAACGCAGCGGGAAGTGGAACACAGCGGGAAGTGGGAGCTGTGGGGGTATACTTGGTAACCCCTTATGGGGGCACGCACTTCAAGATTCGCCCAGCTGAAAATGATGGGCATCGCGTCAATGCCGGCGCACGGGATATCCCAGGGCGAGATGGTTGTCAGCTGTCCCTCTGGCCCCCTCGTCCTTTCCGGACTGTCGGGCCTGGTAGGCTAGTTTCAAAGAGTTTCCCATCTGGTTATGTGGGATGGATCTACATACACACCTAGGAAGTCTCCCTTAACCTCCCCGACCAATATCTGGGTGGTGGTGCCCCAACATTGGGAAGAAAAAACGGTCAAAGGATGATCCCATAGTATCTATGTCATAGCTATTCAACTTCTCGGCGCACAGTAGAGGGTACGAGATAAGGTGCGAGCGACCGAGAGAGCTATACAGCACAAATAGGTTGTCATTGTGGTATTTTCCCCTGGATATGCAGTCCCAAGCTTCATGGCATCCACAGAATCCTCCCAACAGCGGTGACAGCGACCGAATCTTTCAAATGGTGAGAAGCCGACCGTTCCAGTTCGCGATGTAACTACCCATCGTAAGAATAGGTTGCATGAATTGCAAACCGGGGCATATGCTGATCTGTTTAGTTACCAGAGCGATGGGCATTGCTGATAGGAGATATCTGCCGGTTGACCAGTCAGCCCCAGAACATGCATAACGGGCGGGTGTATACGTTATCGATTAAGGGCGATCGAAGTGGGCGCCATATTGCTTGTGCAGCTCATCTGCCAATCGCAGCCTTCGGTCGGGCTGGGGAACGCATTTTCATTCCACGGACATCCGGTGTATATCCCTGAACCTGCAGCTGGAACGTTCCAGCAACGAACCGGAAAGGAGAGTTGATCTACTCCGTTCCTCTTCTTCCCCTCCAGTGTATTTACTGTGTAGGCACAGGGAGGAGATAGACAGCTGGCACACCCGAGGTATCAAATCCTAGGGAAGATGGTAATTCCCTGGCATAGAGGAGGCGATAACCCATGCGGCATCATATATCTGGCCCATAACCACCAACCCCCGCGACTGGTCTTCCCTCACGATAAGAGATAATTGATAATACCTGCAACGGCGGTAAGCAATCAGGATGCGTATATACATATCCAGACTCGACAACAACCCCCAAACTGCCCCCCAAGGGAGCAGGGGTAGGAATATCAGATTTCCGAATGGAGATATGCACATAAGGAGGCATCAAGAAGCGTGACGGCCGAGTTATGCACGTCCTGTAGCTGTGTGATGAGAGAAATCCCTGTATTGGTATCCAGCATCCAACTGCGCAGGGGGGGAGGCAGGCTTTCGGTTTGTCGGATAAAAGTCATGAAATCCCCGATCCCATGCGCATTTTACCGACAGAGATGAAGACGAGGAGGACATTTTTCTCGCCTATCCGCGTCAAGAGCGCTGACAGAGTTTTGGCCATCTGTTCCGTGGTCTTCGCAGCTCCCACATAATGATCGCCCCAAACAACAGCATGGATGCTGGCAGTGCGACATGGGCGCGTCATCATCAACTCACCTAGACATCGAAGAGCTGAAGATATGTCGTTGGATAGGTCGGCTTCCACTGAGAGATATCTGAGTTGGTTGGGGGTCACATTTTATATTGGTCTCTTTGGTAGGCAAAAGCTCACCTGGGCCCTAATATCATCCTCTACGTGCGTATCTTTGGTAGAAGCGGGAATATTTGGCGGGCCAGTCAAGATGTTAAGATAGCCGGCAATAGTCATCAAGAGCCAAACGGGGATCATATATCTGCGTAAAAAGGTGTGAATATTGCCATCTATAACTGACTGGAAGAGAGTGTTCGAACTGATGGAATCTAGGAATTTTTCATTGATTCATGAATGTAGATGCATCGGCAAGTCCAAGTCCGATATTGTATTTTCGTAGACAGTCGGTGTCTCAGGAGTAATATGATTGTAGAAATGTGGCTAATTCCACAGATTTCGTCCTGTTGCGATCATTCCAGCCAAAACACCAGCTCCAATAATTGATCCATCAGTTGCCTCTCGCAAAAGAACACTCTTCCCGCCATCCTGCGGCCCAGCTCGAATAACCAGTCGGTCAATATATCCCTGACACAGTACCTTGAAGTTGGGATAATGCTGAATGATGCTCCCCGTATATGCCACGACCAGCTCCTCGGGGCCTCGCTGCCAGTTCACAGTCGACCTTGATGTCGGTAGAAGAAGGGGGTTCTGGTACGGGGAAGTGGCGCAATGCAGCTTGCCCAGCGAGGTGCATCTCTGCGGGCACTCGAGACGTATTTCATGGTTGCATGCCAGTAAGGCAACTGACGCTGCTGCGATCAAGGCGGCCGAGCGGGTTTGAACAGCAGAAGCAGTGACTCGCAGGACACGGGCAGACGCCGGAGTCCAGAGCCATGAGTTCTTAACTGGTGAAGCAAGCTTTCGGCTAAGTCTGGCGGCTAGTTCGCTGTCTGATCGGGAGGTAGCGATGACATCGGAGACAAAGTCGATCGTGAGCGCGTAGGGCTTCGTAAGGGCGCAAGGGAGGACGGCAGAGGGGTAGGACATGACTGTGGTATAGTAGTCATAAACTATGATACGAATGAGTTCTCCAATGTATCTACCACCAGTCATGTATTCAAATGGCTGGAAGCCCGGCCGGACTGAGCATGCGCTCAATTGATCATCCCATGCTGTGCTGATTGACAACTCCTTCAAGGGGCCCTCAGTCCCCTGGAGCGTCCACTCTGTGCTGATAACAGCCTCCGTTGCTTTAGGGCAATATGAACGTATCTGACGGGCCTTTGTCTGGTGCAGGTCCTTCAGCTTCATGGGGATAGTAGCATTACAGCCAGTGCCAACAACGATTCCCATAGCCACCCTGGTGTTTGGCAGGGATTTAACTGCGTATGCGAGTGAGACCAGAGTTGCCACTGTGTCGTTGGCTATGGCTATGACGTTAAGACCTGGCAGGGCGTACGTTTTGCGTCGTTTGGTCTGAGGCTGTCGTTGACCATGGTTGGGCTGGTAAGAATGGCGCTCATAGCCATCCAGGACAGCTCTGCGGAGGTTGAGGTTCGATTTTATGGCAAATCCCTTACCAATTGGCATCAGTGTTGCTTCGTCTAGCGACTCTTGTCTATATCATGTAGACAACCCTTCTGTCAGTCCAAGTTCTACGCGGCGTAGCTTTGTGGTAGTCCCTACCGTATAGGCAGGCTGAATGATATGCCAGTCTCTATCTCTCGAGGAAGAGACTGATCAGCTGAATCATGGGAAGCGAGCTTATCAGCAACGACTTCAGCTATACAGCTCCCGATCCAGCCAAAAAGAGCTTCCTCATTATCCTCCTTCAGACGCTCTTCAATCCGCCAGGCCTTCTCAATCGTCCTCCGTACTCTTCGGCCGGATACTGATCGGAAGGCACTTTGATCACTTCGACCACTGGGAGAATGACGACTAGCTGGCGAGCAACCTAGCAGCTCGATAAAAGCGACTCTTAGGTTGGTCATCCCGACATCGACGGCGAGGTAGACGCCCGTTTCTCTACCGCTGGGCAGGCAAGTGACCGGAGTAGGGAAGAAATGGCCATCTCCCGTCAACGCAAGGGTTCGGTAGACCTTCGACAGGCGGTAGGAGAGCTCATAGAGTGCCGCATCCGTGATGGTTAGTGGGCGGAGGAAGCTATCAATTGTTCGGCAGTAATGCTCGTCGTCGTCCGAAGATGAAAGAACCGACATGGCCGTATAAATCATCAAAAAGGCTCAGCTAGTTATTTAACAGCTGAAAAGAAGTAAACCTGATAGGTATATTTCAGTAAATTTGTATCCATCGAAGGAACGAAGAATCGTCCTCGTTGGCCATAAATAACTAACAGAACAAACCAACCTGTGAGCCCAGGGTCTCCCCCCCCCAATACAACTCCATCACCCCCTAACCAGCTCATCTCCGCCATCTCGCTCTCTCCTCGCTGTTTCGTCTTCTGTTCTTCCGCGTCTTCGTCTACCTCTCCCTATCGTTGCGCAAGTGGTATGATGTTACCGTGACTCCTGGCGTTTTGCTCGAGTTATTATGACTTGCATGAGGACGAAGCAGCAGCCCAAAAAAAGCAAAGAGCAAAAATCAACCGCTTGGCTGTTACGGAGTACCGGTCCATGTTACATTTCAGCAACCTCGACGTTGCAGGGCCAGCGCGAGAGAGTGTAAAATAGACTATTCCATTCGTTCTTGGTGTCTTCAGGCTGCAATTCGCCAGCGGAAAGTCGTAAGGGCAGTGTCCAGTGATGCCGCCATGTCTCAGATTGCCCGTAAGGGAGACTGGGTGGGTGTTCTGATATTGGAGATGCAGACGGGAGGACGGTTGTCAGGAGACAGGAATGGCACAGGGAAGGCCTGGAAATACCAATTGCTTGAGATCTTCTGCCCTTATAGTTCCATATTGGAGATCTAGACGTCACTAGGGCTGTCTCTTGTTTGGTTGATAGCCATCATGAACCGGATTATATCACCAGGAAGATTCTTCAGGGGATACCAATCGCCAGCCGTATGGTGTGCGGTGTGTAGCAGTAGCATCGGCAATGTCGTTATTATGGAGGCGATACTGGAGGTCATGGAGCATTCTTCAGAGCAAATATCCCTTGATATATATCCATTCCGTGCCGATATATATTAGCTATGCGCGTGTGTATCCACTCGGGCGAATGCTCGGCTTCCTTGCTAGGCGGGAGTTACGGTGCCTTTCTTCGTCTTCTTTGCCTTCTTCTTCAACTGGCCGGTCGCTGGCTCTGCTGTTGCAGCTCTCCTTTTCCTCTTCAAGCTGGGCTTTGCTGCCGGTGCTGGCGCTGGTGCCTTGTAGGGGGTGTCATCCGGTGGCAAGGATCTGGGCTGAATACACGGATCAGTTAAAACCATGGCACCCCGGGGCATTTTCTCAGTGCGAAGCGAGGATGAGATGGTCAAAGATCTCGTACACACAAGAAGCGTCTTCCGGGTAAGGGGCAAGCTGGGGACGTACATTTGGTGGTTGGGTGTCTGTCTCTCCAGTGGACACGCCTGCCAGCGTCGACGGGCCAGGGATGCTGAAGAGTCTGCTTTGGCTGCATTCCCCTGGGTATCTGCAGTCTTGCAAACAGCCTGGGGATGGGCTGATACCCTTGTGCTGCCTGGCGCGCCTCTGCCAGACGGCCATGGTCTCCCATCCTGCGTAGTCGAAGGAGGACTTGCAGGCAGTCCCTAGGCTGCTCTCGCCCTTGACCTGCCTCTGGCGGCGCCCCCGGTGCTTGCGGCCTTGTGCAAGGCCGTAGCAGAAGTAGTGCCCGTCGGACAGGCATCGGTTTGTCACCGCGAGGGCATAGTGTGTATGGCACTTGTGGCATCTCCAAGTCCATCGCCGCGGGTTATCTGGCCGTGGAGGCAGGACAGCAGCTGGCACCGCCAGCTTATTCTCTTTCTCGCTGTCGTCCTGGTCATCCTGTGTATCCTTTTCTTGCTCGTTGTCTTGCTTGACGTCGTCGTCCTTCCCGTCTGTCTTGGGCCCCGTGTCCACGTCTTGTTCCGCATCGACAGACGACGAACTCGAGGTCTCTTCTGCTGACGAACCGTCGATAGACGCGGGCTCAGACTCGCTAGTCGAAGACACCGGCTCCTCAGCAGAGTCGATATTGAGAGGTATAGAGATATCTTCCTCTGTCGCCATGGTTTTGGTCAAGGGTCCTTGAAGGCGTTGCTATACAACCAATATCAATATCAATATCAACAAGACGGCCTTGACTGGGTCACAGCTTACAGTATTGGTGTCAAGACGAGATAACGAAGCTGAGCAAAGGGAGTAAGTATTCATCGACTAGATTCTGAAGCCGGAGAGGGAGAGCGTATTTCACCTGCTGTATACGCGGATCAAACGAGATATCCAATCCGTCACTTGTATTTATACACCAGCCAGGAGACATAACTACTGCCTGAGACCTAGCTGTCACCGCTAGATAATGACTGTCAATAGCTGTTGTCTTGCAGGTATTGATAAAGAGGCATTCACTGTCTATTGATGCGATTGTTTGAGAGGACAAAGTAGCCCACAGCAAAGCCTCTTTCATTTGAACGCACTCGACATTGATATTCAATGTTCAAAGAGCAAATACTTCTAAGCTACTGTTGCATTTTATATCTTATTGACTGTACAAGGCCACTCCCTTGATTACGCATTAACTGTTCTATTGTTGCTCAATCCGACATCTAATAGAAGGGCCCAGAGATATCTATCCAGATCCCAGGGCGCGAGGAATGAAAATAGAGAGAAATAGAGAGAAGTGAATTAATTATTATGGTATCTCGATAAGTAAATTTGCTATAGTCAAGCCAAAACTCTCGAGAAACCCTCGTTCCATACCATAGCTAAGTCGAGATCAACACAGAGTAGTCAGGAGAAAGGGGATAAGAAAAGAGCATCATCCAGGGGGTATAGTTATCAATAATCAGTCGTCTAAAGGCATCCTTTTTTCATCCATGATAAGTGTCATTAAGTCGTCCACATCAGCCGCCAAACGCCAGCCCAAGAAGGAAAATCAGTGTAGAAAATCGGCTGGATCAGGCATCTCGCTTCCCCCGTTTGCGTGCAATCAGGTTCTCCAAGTTTTCAAGGTGACCTAGTAGTCCCTTGCGGCCTGCGTTGGCAACCAACCAAGCCTCCATATTCTCTCGCACCAGTCTCATCGAGTGGACAACGGGGAAGGTAGGCTGCTTGTCGCCATCTCCACCACCGGGTGAAGCCTTCTCGCGAGCATTGCGTTCAATCTCCACCCACTTTGGGCTCAAAGGGTTAAGCAACAGGTCAAACACATCCGACCATATCTCGCGCTCCCAGTATCGTTTCAACGATTCCTTGATTCTGTACGTCTTTTGGGCTCCTACACCTCGCCCGTTTCCAAGGTTGGGAGACACAGGCCTGTCGCTGGTTCGTTCAGTTACTTGGGACACTTCCATGTACTTTCCAAACAGCATAACGTAAATAGTCCCCGCCAGACCGTATAGATCGGCCTGGTAGGTCCATGGTCGACACTCGCGCATCTCAACACACTCGTGCTGGCCCACCTTCCAGTCAGCAATGAATTGAACCTCCGGCTTGAAAACGCGCATATCAATAGCTCGTCCAAAATCTATCAGTGTCAACCCTCTCTCCTTCCAACCATAAAGCCCAGATGGGGAGTACCCAGTACTTCCGTCTTCAGGGCGGCAGCCTTCATCGTCAGCTAGCAGGGAACCGCTTCGAGGGGTAGGAATTGTGGATGCGGAAGCTGGCCCAGGCAGCCGGACCAGACAGTTATCGGGCTTCAGATCCCCGTGGAGAATCCCACAGGAGTGGAGGGCTTCAATTGTCCGGAATAGCTCTGCTGCAAAGAACATAATCACTACCTCCTCCAGGCATTGATCTGAGGGCGCCACTGGGCCAGTAGACTCTGTTTTGATGTTGATGAGGTCCAGCAAAGTACCTTGGTTTAAGTAGTCTTCCACGAGAATTGACTCATCCTTGAACATATGTATTTCATGGCATTGAACAATGCTATCCTTCGCGCGTCGGTAGTAGGATGAATTCTCGATCCGGTTCCTGGCAGTCACAAGCATATAGAATTCCCAGGGTGATGGCGGGTCAGATTCAACCTTCAGGGCTTCCAGAGACTTGCGCTCTAAATCCCTGAGAACCGCGCCGTTTCCACCAGTCCAGTGAGAACTTTTAGCAGGAAAATTCTCCTGTTCAGAGTCTGAGAATGTATCAGGAGAATCGATGCTTTCGGCAAGGTAGACGGGAGCAAACCCCCCTTCCCCAAGCTCCCGCTTCACCGCGTAGCTTCTTGCTGCCCCTGAAAGGCAGATAATTGGTGGTATGGTGAACTGCTTCTCACTTCCATGTGCTTTGGGTGGCTTTGCCAGGGCTTTTAGGTATTTCTTGATCTCAGCTCCGTTCCCACCGATTTGAGATGTGTGGTCATTGTAGCCTGGATAGACGCGCAACGGAGGCTGAAGCCCCTTCAGAATCTTATCTCGTATGGCAGTTTCAATGGGATTGCACTGAACATCCTCTATGAGCACACGAGGTTCAATAAGACCACCTCGCTTGAACATGCTCTGAGGTGACTTGAGCTTCCCAGCCATCTTACTAGGTGACTCGTCCCCAAGCATGTCAAATTCCGCGTCGTCTTGACCTGCTAGCATCAGATCATCGATCTCTGGAATAGCTGGAGTTGATGCTGAAAAGAGAGGCTTGGAATTCTTGGAGGGGGTTTTCGAGCTCATGTAGTGCTTGTTTTTGAACATCGTCGAGGCGAGCGAGGTTTCAGTGTGCTCAACAATCGGTGTCATAAAAGGGAGTCGATTTTGCGCGGCCACAAAGGAATCTCTGTAGGGGCCTCTAGGAGGATTGTAGTCCTCTGGTGGCACAAGGACAAAATTTTCTTCCTGGTGAACGATGCGATCACCTTGCCGAGGAGTAGGCATTGTTTCTCGGCCATCAGAGCTCTCAGTGTCCTCTTCATCTCTTGGTGTCATTGTTCCGGGCCTTGGGACATGTTCTTCAGGGGAGAATTCAGTCCATGCACTAGCACTAGTGATATCCTCCTCTGTTTGGTCCCTTAGTCCGTCTGCTCCTATAATAGCTCTACTTGCTTTAAAGGTATTTGTCTTATCATCTTCAAAATCACTGCCTGGGGCAGAAATGGCCCCTGTAGTAGTGCTTTCCCCTATACTAGCACAGTCATCATCCTCATAGTCACTTCCATAGACACTGTCTAGATCTTTGGCAAGCTGAAGCTCAGACTTTAGTGGCTGATTAAATATGCCATATATCTCATCTGTAGCCTCTTTAGTATGGAATGTCATTGTAGGCTCAGTAGAGCCTCTCTTCTTAATCCTTGGTCCAGTGGGCGAATCAAGATTGGTTTTGACTATAATATTACTATGTATTAGTAAATTTTTATAATATATAAGCAGTTTTAAGAAACAACTTACCTATTTGTGTCTCCATTTTGATTTCTTTCACCTTTGCTTTCTTCCCTTTTGCCAGCTTGGGATCTCTACCAGCCTCATCATAGATTTGGAGCTTTTCTTGCATGGCCATGGATAGATGTTTATCTGGGCCATGGTCATTTCCATTTATATGTGGGTCTCTCACTGTGATCTCATTTTGAGGTATCTCCCTTAGTGGCTTTTTCCTTTGTTTAGACCAATCTTTACTCATCCAACCACGACGAATTGCTCTAAGCTCATCAAGGCTCATTTCAACTGCTGGGTTATGAGAATCAGGGTATATGGCCTCAAGGTTAACAACAACACGTTCAATTTTTCCAGTTCGGGGGTCAACTCGTTCTTTATTATTTCGTGAAACGTTAATAGTCTGCATTGGCTTTGAACTATGGTGTGTATTTGACGTCTGAGTTTATAAACAAAAAAATTCCGTAAAGGAAGTTTATGCCAGATATTAGTCCTATGATCGTAAATATATATACCATATATCAAAAGGGCAAAAAGGAAAATCAAACACTGGGCTTACCTCGTCTTTAAACACAGTCATCTTCTGGGTAGCCGCGGGCTTCTTCCCAGCCTTCAATGTCTGCCCAGCCCACGGAGTTGGCTCAATGGTATTCTCTTTCCTGCGATCTTTCAATGACCCAATGTTGTCCCACCCTCTTGTTCCGGGACTAGAGCCCGATTTTGTGGCTTCAGCTTCTCCATCTGCATCAGAAAAGATGGCCATCTTGGGTTTACCGCTGCGGGACCTGCTCGTCGAGGTTCCGCCGCCAAGCCCGCTTCTCGGGGGTTCAGCCTGAGGATCCTGACTTGCCGCAGACGATGCAAAGGGGTCAAACTTTGCAGCTAATGCTGGCCGCACTCTGGGAAGAGCAGGAGAAGAAGGACCATCAGAGCCGCTTGGTCTCTGTTCTGCTCGTTTCTGGAATTCCCCGAATTTCCTAAAAAGCCGTTCAATCGGTCTTGCTTCCTTTTCAATGCCCATTTTGTATACTTCTTCAGCTTGTGCTATCCTTCCATCCCGCTCTAACCACGAGGCAAATTCTTCGTAAAACAGCGCCAGCTGCGCACCAACACCGTGCCTCGCTAAAAATGCAAACGTCTCCCTTGGAGAATCAGAGAAAAGTTGTATATAATGTAGCCAGAGCCGTAAATATCTTGGATCGTTCTTATAATGTGTTGAGCTTAGAAACGCATTGGTTGCGCGTTCTAGAAGTGGGAGCAGCCCTGATTGCGACGTTGCTTGGGCAGAAGGATATGCGTCCAGTGTCCATTTCACATATCGGTCGTAAATATCGAGAGGGTCATCTGATTCTGCGATGGACTCCAGCTCAGCTTCATATTCCCGTCGAACCGCATCATTCAGCGTCCTCGTTTCGTCTAGCTCCGACGAGCGTGAGCTCTGGTCCAAGGGTCGAGGAGAAAAGACTGCTGCTAGCGCTTTTGCAGACCTTCCACTGGGCAGCGATTGAATGTTTTCTTTCTGATTCTCGATAAGATCGAAATCGATACGGTCGTTGGAGGGCCGCGCCATCGTCGTATGCGCCGGGCTTGAACGGCCAACAGATGTAAACAAGGAAAATTGGTCAATCTGACAGTCACAGCGGTCGTAAGCAGTTATTCAGTCACCGCCAATGGGCATTCCAACAACAACGTATCGCTCCTTATCCCTCCCTATCTTCTGGCAGGCGACTTGATCGATGAATTGATGTTTTCCTCTCGAGACCAAACGTTGACGTCGCATTTTGGTTGACGTTGGCCGGGGAACCTGTCACGTGATGAAAATAATTCCATCCAAGGTTCCAGGTTCCCGTCTCTAACGTCCTCGAGGGCGCGTCGCAACGTCGAAGCCGAGAAGAAACTTGCAGAGAAGTGCAAGAGGATGCTGAAGAGAGATTTTTAGCATCAGGAGAGTGCTTTTGCAGCTAGTGATACCCCGTGAGACTGGATACCTGGAAATTCTGCCTGGAAAGGTTCTTTGACGATGCCAGCTACCCGGTCAACGCGCCGGAACCAGGAAACGAAGACTGCCTCCACAGCCACAGATGGTGCTCCAGAGACAGCTATTTCAGAAAGAAAGCGAGGTCTCAGTGTAACTGGGGCTTCTGTAGCAAAGCGACCAAAGAAGTCCAGCTCCAGTAGTATCACAAATCAGCCTAAGTCAGCGCCGAAAAGGGACAAGACTGCTCAGGACAAAGATACCTCAGAAGCAGACAAATCGACCGAAAAATCTTTGGAAACAAGAGAAACTGAGAGAGCACGAAAGATCAAACCTGAAGAAGGTAAAGACGAGGAAGAGGAAGTGGGAAAGCCTAGTTCATCGCAGTATACGTCTGCAGGGAAACGGAAAACCAAGGAAGAGCAATCTGCAGAGATGAACCCTCTAGCTCCCCGCGCTTCTGGACTACGAATGTATGTGGGAGCTCATGTTAGCGCAGCAAAAGGTGTGTTGCATGCTCTTGGGTCGCGAGATATGCGTCAGACACTATTGTTTCTTAAGCTAAACGTGTATATATCCTAGGGGTTCAGAACTCTATTCCGAACAGTATTCATATTGGGTAAACTTATCGCTACATTTCCTCCTACGTCCAGTGCATGAAATGCCTGTCAATCGTAGCTGACCATACTTCCAGGGGAAATGCATTCGCACTATTTCTAAAATCGCAGAGAAAATGGGACAATCCTCCTCTCCAAGACGAGCACAGAGATTTGTTCAAGAAAGCATGTGTGGAAAACAACTACGATGCTGCATTGTATAGCTCCCTTGTTTCTATCATACTATCCGAACCCGGCTAATGAGCCTATTTAGGCACGTCCTTCCACATGGCTCATACCTTGTGAATCTAGCACAAGAAGATCCAGCCAAGGCAAAAGTAGCGTATAATTCCTTCTTGGATGACTTAAAACGTTGTGAGGCGCTTGGTATAAAGCTATATAACTTCCAGTAAGTCCCCAACCTTGGCTGCTGTATTACCAGTGATTGGCCGTCTATGATAGGATGGGAAGATGAACGGCCCTAACGCCACCCTAGTCCAGGGGCAACAAATAAGACGTCTCTCGAGTCGTCACTCTCTCGCCTTGCCAAAGCCCTGATATCCGCTCTTGATGCAACAAAGACCGTTATTCCAGTGCTCGAGACAATGTGCGGTCACGGAACTACGATTGGTGGCCCACTGTCTCACTTCCGTGATCTCTTCGCGCTAATTCCAGAGTCATACCATCCTCGACTTGGTGTCTGTGTCGATACTTGTCACAGCTTTGCAGCAGGGTATGATCTACGCTCTCCGGCTGGCTGGGACAGGTTCATGACGGAGTTCGACGAAACCATAGGTCTAAAGTTTCTACGAGCATGGCATTTAAATGATTCAAAAACCCCCCTGGGTAGCAACAGAGACCTTCACGCTAACATTGGAACCGGATTCCTGGGGCTGAGGGCATTCCACAACTTGATGAACGACAAGAGAGCGGAAGGGATGCCGATGGTGTTGGAAACCCCGATTGATAGGCCTGTCGAGGGTGCAGGGACAGGAGCTAAAAGTAAAAAAACAATCGAAGATAAATCCGTTTGGGCCAAAGAGATAAAGCTTCTCGAGAGCCTTATTGGCATGGATCCTGAAAGTAAAGAGTTCCTTGAGCTCGAGGCCAAACTGGCAGATGAAGGGAAAGAAGAGCGAGCCAAACATCAGGCCATGTTCGACAAGAAGGCAAAGGAGAATTCTGGCAAGAGTAAGGACATAAGGTCCATGTTCGGTAAAGGGAAGCCCAAGAGGAAAGGTTCGAAGAAGGACGATAGCAGTGAAGATGCAACCGATGGAGAGTGTGGCAGCAGCCACGAATGACAGATGTAGCTACGAAACCTGGAATAGGGGGTAAATATCCAGTCATTCTCGACCTACCAGTGGGCTTGCATTGAGAGGTCCAACAAAATAAGGGCATCACCGGACGTCATTCCACTCAGCAATACAGGGATGGGTAGCAGCTGAATAGTCCTCCAATAATATGTATATTAGAAATATTAATCCACCGGCAGTGATTTAACTAGCTAATTATCTTTCGTGATTTCTATACCAACGAGATCCTTTTCATATCATCCTTTCCTGCAGCTGCTTCACCGTCCATTACGCCGTGTATATATGACTCCCCGATGAACTTGTATTTGGAACAACCATCACCAGCTTCGTCTACTGATTTTCTCAGCACAAAGGCCGCCCCAGCCCCTGGTATAACCCATACCTCGTCGCCAGCCTCCATGCCAGCCGGCCCTAGCCCAAGGTACCGGTTCTTCGTGGCAAACAGTCTCCTTCTCCCCACTGTGCTCTGCAAGGTCCTTACCAACGTTCCCCCTTGTCGAAGCCGTTCTAGAAGGCCAACAGACGGATCCTCACTTTCAGCTGCCAGCTTCTCCTCCAAGTCAAGAAGGACATTGATAGGCGGAATACAACAGGTTTCCTCAGCCTCCGTCAGTGCCAGCACATGAGCTTTCAAAAGAGTATATACCAGTTTCTGAGTATCCTGCGAACTGAGGTTTCTAGAAGGCTCATTGAATTCTTGTTCTAGATCCGCCGTCGATAGCCCAGCCAGCGGTGGATCGGAGAACATGTCAAGAACCCGCCCGATGCCATGCCCGAGGCTAGGAGCGAGATTCAGCTCGGGATTTGCACCAGCATTGCCTTCTTCGACCCATGCTTCCCTGACTAGCATTGTCCCTATCATCTCGCTGAATTCAGAGCTGAACGATTGCGGGGCTGGCTGCCGTCCGTCAGGCCCCTTGTTGGCGCAGAGAGTTCTCCATAGGACCTCTGACCGCTGATGACCTGTATGGTGGTATGACGACGGTATAAGGAGCGTCAATTCCAACCATGATGGGTCAAAGAAGCGCTTCAGGTCTCCAGGACCTGAGGTTGTGTTTCCAATAGCCAGCACGGTATCTATAGGAAGCCCCTGGATAGTCAAGGTGTCCCAATTGTCTGATTTTTCGATCAATGGACTGGGAACTGGCAGATTACCAGCAGCATTTGAATATGCAGACATCATATTCGTCCATGTCACACTGTAATCTGGCGTCCATGAAGGAAGAGATTCAATGTTACGCCAGGAATGATCAAGCACAGCAGAGAGGATTCGGAGCTCACCAGCGTCGAGTATGATTTGTTTCGTGGCTTCTGCGTACACCTGCTCAACAGGTTTCGTATAGTCTGCCTGCCAAATAGGCTTTTCTGTATCTCTTGACTGCCCATCCGCCAGGGCCTTCTTGTTCAACAGGCCATATACCCCGTATATCTTGTCTCTCGGATCCGTCGCAAGGAAATGCCATGTATCAAAGACTAGATTCTCCAACGAGACCGTTCTAGGTTTATCTCCGGGACGATTGGATGCAAACCTATCCTGCCACTGCAGCAGCTGGACAACTGGCTGCTCGATGCCGCGCCCCCCTTCACCAAGGGGTACGTACTTTGCTGACATCTCAGCACCCAGCTTCAGTTGACGGTAGTGCAGCATCTCCGCAGTGATACAGAAAAGCCTCCAGGGTATCTCGACTCCGCCGCAGTATGCCACTACGATGCCAGACAGGATGATTTCCTGCACTATCCATAGGCGTCGGAAGTACTGTCTCTGGAACAAGGCAGCTAGGGCGTCCCATTCCCCTTCGGATACGTACGGTATGCCTTCATTCGTATGAAGTTCCTGGCTATTCTGAGTATACGGTATGATGGTGCTTTCAATGAACTGGTTGCCGGCCCTGGCAAACCTGGGTATCAAATGGGCCGCCCGCTTCGTGTATCCGTCCTCTCTGCCGAGCCATAGAAGCGTAAAGGCGGCCTCCTGGTATATCCTATGCATAAGATCAACTTGCGAGGAGCGTTCTTCCGGGTCAGCCTGGTTGATACAGACCTGGTCAACCCACAGCCAGACCTCCGGTCCACCATCCTGCTGTTCATCTGCCTGCTGGCAGCCATCCAGGGCCGTTTCAGCTGTTAAGCAGCTCAGGATCTCCTCGTCAGCGATCTCTCGCGCGTAATCTAGTGCCGTCTTGCGTTCATAGTCGGGAATATCAAGTCTCGCGCCCGCCTCGACAAGCAGCCGGACAACCTCCCCCCTGCGCAGTCGTACCGCCCAGACAAGCGCCGTCATCCCTTCGCGGTCCCTTGTATTGAGCTCAGCGCCCGATGCAATCAGGGACCTCACCCTCCTAGCGTCTCCATTGATCGAGTGCGTATGCAGCCTTGTCCAGCCCTTGCTCTCGTTACGGCGGTTGATAAACGTCTTCCACGCATCTTGCGGCACATCTCGCAGCGCATCGTACAGGTTGCGGCTGACCAGCAGTCTCTTCCCGTCACACTTAACCGGCACACCTGCGCTGGGGAACAAGTACTCCGCCGCCAGGGCATTGTAATGCTGTGTGAACCGATGGCCGTCGCGGGCTCTCGCATGCGGGTTCCCCCACGTATACGATATGGCATGGAAGGACGGCGCAGCGTCCAGGTCGACCGTCTTCAGCGTGCATTCCAGCTGGTTGAACTTGTCGCGGGAGCTGATGCGCAGCAGACGGATGGAAGTGCGGGTTGGCAGCGGCTGGTACTGATATTGCTCCGCCCGGAGCATTTTATATAGAATATACAGCTTTGTGCGGTCTGTCTATTCAGTATCAGTTGTTGCTTGTCAGAAGTTCTGTGTTTGTTTGCTTTTTCAATAGTCAGTGGATGGTTATTATACGAAGCCTGCACGGTATGCAGCTACCTAAACCTCCAACAGTATCGTTTACAAGGGCCTGTCACGGTATAGAATAATGTTAATGGATAAATTATATAGGTGGTCATGTTTGTTCATTGATTATTTCGTCTAAAGATCGTAAGCCTCTATAGTTACTGCTCGCTCGTCCTGCACCTGAGCAAGCGAGCAAAACAACAGCGATAAAGTACAGCCCAGTAGCCCCCATTACTCGATACTGAAAGAAGAAGAGTGCCAGCGGCTCGTCATGACCTGCAAAGGAGGTAGGGCATACGTTAAGGGGAGAAAATAAAAGAAAAATAAACAAAGATGTTTGGTCCCAGATGTGCCGCTGTTTACTCGTATATGTAGCTGATATATTTCATGACTCCCTTGTGTTCGCGGATTGGACGCTCGGCGGCAATGATTTCGTCCAAACCAGTCACCATGTCTATGTCCTCCGCCCGCCAGCACCAGGGGTCACTTCTGGTGTACCAGCGGTGGCCAAAGTAGACCAACAAGAAAGCCGGGATGCCAATATAGGCAGTCAGGAAGTCAGAAGCATTGAATCTCTGAGGGAAGAGTGTGTCGAATCCGTTGATAAGGATCAAGAGGACGAAGCCGAAGATACCAACACGAGCTCCCCAAGGTTGGAACCTGGACCTGTACGTGAGTTCGATGCCTTGGACCTTGACGGCTTTGGTGAAGCGGAAGTGGATGATGCAGCAGCAGGTCCAACTGATGAACGCGGACGTGTTGGTGAAACTGACGAACCAGTTGAAGACGCGAGAGCTGCCGCTGCCGACAGCCAGATAGGCGAGCGGGAGGAAGAGAGCACTAGCTGCCAGCGCCATGTAAGGCAGACCGTAGCGGTTGCAGGCCCTGAAGATGTGCGGAGCGTCACCAGCCACAGCGAGTGAGTAGAGAGCTCGGGACGACATGTAGAGGTACGAGTTGCCCGAACTCCAGGCAGAGGTAAGGATGACAGCATTCACGATGCTGGGGAGGACAGCAATGCCGGCATTCTTGATGCCGAAGACGAAGGGGGACGAGCCAGCACCAGCGCCACCATTAGTCAGGGACGATTCGTCTGATGGGCAGGTAACGCTGATTGCCAGGGAGCCTAGGATGTAGAAGAAGGCCAGACGGTAGAAAAAACGGCGTGAGGCTCGTGGGATGTTGTGTCGAGGCGACTCCATCTCACCGGCCGTCTGGATGATAAGCTCGGGGGCGAAGAGGAACGCGAAAGCGCTGAGGACGACGCATTTAAGGAAGGCCACAAACCGACCGGCATCACCTTTGACGATGTATTCATTCGCCGGCCTCGGGTGTGTCCAGTAATGGAATCCTAGTCGTTGGTGGGAAGGGCCTCCGCCCCAGAAGAGGATGAAGGCGAGGATGATCAAGCCTAGCATCATGATGACCTTAAGACTAGCAAACCAGAACTCAGACTCTCCATACCAGCGCACGGGCAGCAAGTTTAGAGCGATGATGACGACCAGGAAGATGGTGATCCAGATAGCAATGTTGATAGAGTCGTCCCAGTAGCCCACGATCAGAGAAGCGGCGACAATCTCGTTTGGTACAAGGATGCCTAGCGAGTACCAGTACAGATATCCGAGTGAGAAGCCCATACTGCGCGAGACATAACGGAAGCCGTAGTAGCTCATCGTACCTCCGTGGACGGGTAAGTATGTGCCAACCTCCGCTATAGCTGTAACAACTAGGTAGACGAGCACGCCGATGAGCATGTATGCGCCGACTAGGAACGCAGGGCCGCCTTTTGCCAGGGCCTGACCCGAGCCGACGAAGAGACCAGTTCCAATGGTGCCTCCAAGGGCCATCATCTGGACATGTCGCGACTTCAGACCTCGCTGCGTCTGGTTATACCGGGTGTCGTGCAGGCTGGCCTCGACCATCGCCCGCATGTCGTTTCGTTTCTCATCGCCGTAGACTGGGGGAGCTGGCACATAGTCCCTGGCCTCGACGTCGGCCTCTTGTTGGCCCATCTTGAAGAAGAGAGAAAGGCCCTTCCCTTTTCCCTCAGTCCGTGGTTAGTCAAATCAGCCGGTCAGTCGCACAGTGGCCAACTCCAGTCCGTTCGGGAGATTATCAGTTGTGTGTATGCCGGCCGGTGTCAATCTCAGACCCGGGCAGAGTCCCTCTTATATATATATGACTTTGGCTTGGATATATAAGAAGCTATTGACGGGGAGTTGCAGAGAGTGAGGAAGGCGGGATGCAAAGCTGCTAAAATATATACCACCCTCCCCATCCATGTAACAACGAGTAGCAGCTTTTGCTTGGAGAAAACTGGAGACGAGAAACTCTCTCCGCCCCGTAAAGTTGCTCGACCGCGCCGTCGGCGAATCAGCAGGCAGATGGCCGCTCTTTGCTTCTTCCCGAGAGGCGTTTCTTTCGCTGCTCAAATAATCAGTCCCAGGGAGACAAAGCGAGTAAGCAACCAGCCACGGCGAGCGAGACATACTAAGGAGCTGCGAGAGGTACGAAGACAGCCGTCATCATGCCCTCGCATGCTCAAGCTGTTGGCGATGCACCCGTACCTCAAGAACGCTTGCATCTTGTTCCTCCAGGTGGATACGAGGCTGCATGAAAGCGAGCGAATGGCAGCCTGCCTGGGGCGGACTTATTACCTCATCGTGTCAAAGAGACAGAGCCAGAGGCGGCTGCGGGCGTCTTGGTCGAACCCTGAGACGGGCCTTGGTTCATTTCGGTCCTCTTGTTTCTTCTGGTTCCTTTCGGGCACCAAGGCGCGCCTCCTTTGGGACGGCCTTCCCATGGCTTTTTTTTTTTTTAAGACTTTTCAAGCTTTTCTCGGGCGTAGAGGAAGCGTCGCCCGTCGAGATTTTGATAGGGCAACCTGACCACAGAGACATCCTTTCACTCTTAATTCCCTTAAAGTGGCCCAAGGCTCTTCTCGTGTCGTGTGCCTTATTTTTTTTCCTTACTGGCGCAAAGGAATGGAACACAACTAATTCTTGGTTCCGCCAAACCAAGGCACCCTACCATAAATTCAAGAGCGTTATGAGACCCGCAGTGAAAAATTTGGAGTTCAAGTGATAGGGATTTCTTGCCGCTTGGTAAAAGGCTATCCTTTCTTGTCGCGATGGAAGTTTTCCGACCAGATGCCATCCCGAATACTCCGTACACGCCTCAAGACTCAAGGGGGTCGGTCGTAGTGCGGATATTGAATTCTCCACAGCGAGTGTTAAGGTCACCGATCACTGGTCAGGGGTCCGGCACATTTTATATAACGCGGTGGAGGTGTAATTATTATTCCCCAGCCTTTGCGAATATCTCTCCAAACTGAGCCACAGTCAAGCTGGCATCTCTGGCTTTACTATGAAATACCTCGCGTTAAAGTCCCTTGATAACAGCTTCGTCAGCCTTTAAAGTCATTTACCAGTAGTTAATCTTTGCGGGAACCTCCAAAAATACACGTACTTTTTGCTATACTGGAACTGTTCCTTTTAATCTCCGGCAAATGGACCCTTGTTCGCCTGTTGACAGGTTGGCTAGGAATAGACTGTGCTGAAGGCTGTGAAGGGCACACTGCATGAAAGCTAGTGGTGAGGCATGCAGGCTGGTTGCGAATCCTCAGGTGATGCACACGGCTTCTGCGCTCCAACCCTGGCTGCTGGTGGCTGTGTCGACTCACTGCTGCTGGTTGGCTGTCAGCATACGTCGTCCGATGTAGGATGAGATATGACGTCCAGGGATGTACTTGCTGGTACACCACAGAGATTTTTATCCGCACAAGTCACGATTGAGCGACGCCAGATCGGCTTACTGTGTAATCTGTAGTAGGGCATTAACACCAACTTCATATTTTGAAGCTTTTTGAAGCACACTTGCCTTTCTTCTATAGCCATAACCTTTCAATCGCTAACTAGCCTGTGATGCGATTGAGATGTGTATGATGGCCCACACTATATTCAGCCAGTTAATGAAGACAAGCCGGATCTACCACGGCATGCTCCATACGATTGCATCCGAGCATCAAGTGCAACAGCCGTGGGCGAATGGCCTTTAAAACCTCAACGCATGACGCGGAATCCCCTGCTACTAGTGTCGTTGACAAGAGTTGACCGACCCGGAAGATCAACGACTAATTCCGCTGCAGGGCCAGTGCACCTAAAAGATATCTTGAGTAACCAAAAAATCTCGCTTATGGTAGTCAATAATGAGAGGCCATGGATTTATCCAAAGCTAATTTCAAGAAGAAGTACTTTATTTAAATTCCAATCTCTTCTAGCTGGAGAAAGAAAGCAACTCAAATCAAACATATAACAAAGAAGCCCATGTGGTTAAGACAGAAAAGGATAGAAGTTGAGAAAAATAATCCATGTGCAACCAGAGGAAGAACAAGATGGGCAGAAAATAGAAGAAAAGGACAAATCATATCAAAAAACAGAAATGGTTTATCATTGTCTCGCATCGTTCATCGTGTCAGATCATCAGGCAAATAAACGCAACAGGCAAAGCAGGCAAACAAGCAAGGCAGTTTTAACAAGACCAACACTGTATTCCATACTGTCCCAAGAATAAGGTAAGGGAAAGGGGTAAACGAGAAGTACGAGGATAGAAGATAATTGATCGGAGAGCATAGGCCATCGGGCAGCCATTTCATTTCACAGGTCATTCAGGTTAGCGCAAGTCGCATAGAGAGTCGAAGAGATCAATTAAAGCAAGGTATCCCTCTGCTTATAAATGTGGTTTTCTTTAGGGGATTTCAAGCGCTTTTTCAAATTTTTTTGGTTGTTTCTTTTTCTTTTATCGGGGAAGCTGAAGGGAAATCAAGGAATGGAAAGGAAATGAAAATAGAGGGTCAAGAGAATGTAAAGTAGGGAATATGGTGCCGGTCGAGCCAAAGG